CTTCTTCTTCTTCTTCTTCTTCTTCTTCTTCTTCTTCTTCTTCTTCTCTCTCTCTCTCTCTCTCTCTCTCTTTTAATGAATGTAAAAAACGAACAATTGTAAGACTAATATATTAGGTATAACCAAATTATAGTCAAGTTATATAATTATAAATAAAACTCACTTCGATTCAGCGAGGAAAACGGTTGCGCGCCACTGGCGTATGGTAACGGAATGAACACGAGGAGGCGTCGGGTGAAAGGCCGCTGATTCTTATACGCGATTACACGGTCGTGCATGCCGTTGCATCGGACACAGAGAGAGAGAGAAAGAGGAGAATCCACCTATGCACGCGCATAAACACATTGAGGAAAGAGTGGTAAGATACACGGGCGAACTTCGACGCAGCATCATGATAACGAGCCACGTTTTCGAACTTTAACCTCGACGAGTACGACCGTTCCGATAAAGATGTAAGTAGGAAGAGCGGTTAGTGTCAGACGACGAGGAAAAATCTTATTATTCGAGGAACAGAGACGAGACCCGACGCCGACGCTTGTCGTGTTGCAGTGTCTTTCATGAACGCTTAAATCTATGCTTTTGACGAATTAGTCGTTATTACGATAATTTCAGGTACAGTGGAACGAGTGGAACGAGTGGAACGATCCACTCGAGACACACTTGAGTATGTAGTTTGTTAAGTGATACGCTTGTTAGGTACACGACGACAAATGTGTTTTTCCCTGGTGGAAATGAAAAAACGACAGCTGTGCAACCATGGCTATGTTCGTTTTAAGTAATTTAGAATTAAGTCGTTTTTATTATTAGCCGTGGAAATTAATTCTGTGCCTTTTTAAGGCACACTTGCCATTTATTTGTAAAGACAAACCGTACAATTTTTAATCATCCCTCGGTCGCGTATTCCAAAAGAGCACATGTAGTTGTAAAACCAAATATCAAAGCGATCTGTGTGATTCATTACCATGTTGATACTTACACAACAAAATGGAGGGTAAATATTTCTACTTGAAGTAGGGTCATGATTAAAAAATAAATAGAACAATAATTTCTACTTTTAATAATTGTCGGGTACTAGATATTAATTATTGTACAGTATTATAATATAATATTATTATTGCATATTATAATCATACATAGCAGATCAATGAAATCATCATCTTAATATTTCTCCAACATTAATCAATAATAACAATAATAATATCTATAGTCAGTTATGTCTCTTTTTTTGAGAATATCGATTTTAGAACGTTTATGTTGTTTATGTTGTATAGAAATTATCAATACGCGCATGGAAATAACATTAATGACATAAATGCAATATTCCGCATGGTCGTTCTCCTCGAATTTAATGATGCAAGGTTGATGTTCGGGTTCCAAGTATAAACCGAGTTAGCATTTGAGACGCATAACGACCAACGGCCGCGAGAACTTGAAATAACATTCACCTGGCTGGCGCCAGGGACGTCGGAGGAGTAATTGATGATTGGAGGAAGTTTCATCAAAATTTACCAATTGCTGCTACATAGGATGACGAGATTAGGATATATTTTCAATTGTGTACCTCAGTGTTTTTTTCTTTTTTCTTTTTTCTTTTTTTCATAACGAGAGGGGTGGGTAGGTGAAAGAAAAGGGGAAAGAAAATTTAAAAAACATACAAATATGAATAACCTCAATATATTTTTCAAAAGTTTATCAATTACAGGAATATATTTTTCAATTATTATTTCCTTCGTCTTATTCAGTAAATAATTTCCATTCTCAAATACTATCTGAATTAATACTATATGAAAATTCTCAATTTATTATCATGTATCGCATTATTTATGATACAGAGTGCAGGGCATATCAGTTATTTCTTGACACAAGAGTTTTGCAAACATTTAATTTCCTAAGAAGCTTTCTTGAAATATTTGTTTATATTTAACTTTCTGAGGGATGAATTTTAAATGGATTTTCTTTTGCTTTAATTGAATACAAACAAACCAAAGCGGTCTTTATCTGTAGACCTTTAATGTTGTATATTTTTGTAATTCTAAAAGGTATTATGATTGTAGATAACAGTAATTTTGATGTACAAGCAAACGTACACAAATGCGTCAATATTCCTCAAGGGATTAATAAGTATCGTGAAAAATTTAGTCAATCACAATTAGTAAGTAATAACGGCTTAATTTTAAACGAGCTACAATAAACATAGAAAAAATGGAAATCACTGGTGTGTACTTACATATCTCTTTGTTGAAAAAGAAGATATCTGAGGTTACCGAGGTTACATTTCTTATTTTATTCATTCACGCGTCACGTATATAGTGTATCCCTGCATTTGCGTAACGAGGACGTTGCACAAAATAAATAAATAGTTATAAATTAATCTGTTATTTTTCACGCTAACACGCACGAAATGATTGACAGTCTTCACTAGTCCGCTATAGATTAACGACCAACGGTCCATTTGTTCGTGTAAAGAAGTTTGATATTCGAGCAATCTTATCGATGACTTCATGGAATTATTAAACTCTATTTGCTATTGCAAACAATGCTTTTTCTTTTAATACGCATCGTTAAAGAGGAAGGGAATCGATAGAACTCGAAATGTTACTAAATGTATTGTGCATTCCTGTATAGTTTGAGAAACACGTCTTATAATTATTAGGATGATACGATGACAAGCTATAATTAGCTAGCTTGGTAGCTATTAAATCTGTACTTGCTAGCCTACACAATATAATCATAATTAGTAATTGTAAGAGAAAACACGTGGATTTGTACAATTTCTCATTTAGCTCGATTTGGAACTATTGTCTCCGACCAAAACGAATATTATTCAACGTCCTTTTGTAAGTAACTTCGTGAGTAACGTATCGCTCGAAAGATCGTTTTCAAAGTGTTTAGTACCAAACAATTTGATTCCACGTGAAATATTTTTGCATCTAATTGAAATAAACTCGCGAGAGTGACGCCAAACAGCACAAATCAAACGAACTTTTTGATCGATCTAACATTTCACTTGTTTCTATCTTTTCTCGCCAGTCTCCTTGCACGCGTACGTCGATCGTTCGAAAAGCATCATGTCTAACGGCGTCATTGACTTGGATGTTTCAGAAGTTCGGAGGATCATGGATCCGGCGTCGTTAGCGGGGTCGGAGTCAGCGGAGTCGGCGTGGTTGGTGTCGTCGGTTCCGGGATCGTCAGCGGCAGCGTCGTCAGCGGAGTCAGCGGCGGCGTCAGCAGCGGCAGCAGCGTCGCTGTCGGCGTCGGAGTCGCAAGCGGCGGAGGTAGCGCCGTCGGGGGTGGTATCGGCGTCGTCGTCGGCGGCGGCGTCGGTACCAGTAGCGGTGGCGGCGGCATTAACGACAGAGAGAGGGACCGAGAGAGGGAGAGGGACAGAGATCGAGACAGGGATCGGGACAGGGACCGTGACAGAGACAGGGAGAGAGAGAGGGACAGGGAGAGGGAGAGGGATCGGGAGAGGGAACGCGAAAGAGACAGAGACAGGGAACGAGGCGGCGAGGGCTTCGAGTCACGTGGCTCCCACGGAAGTTTCTACAGCAACGAGAGAAGCGGTCGAGGGGTCGGTTCCGGGGGTGGTGTCGGCGGTGTCGGTGGCGTCGTCGGCGGCGGCGGCGGCGTCGTCGTCGTTGGCGGCCATCCGGCTGATCCTTCTCCCGGTGATCCTGGCGGCTACATACCCCGCGCCCGTCCACCTCCTGCCAGCTCATACCACGTGACATCGACCAGGGCGAGGGATCGGCTTTACTCGAGAACCGGCCCGTATGCCTCCGGGCCGCCGCCCCCGCCCCATTTAGACCGTCATCGTGGTGGCCTGCCACCGTCCTCCTGGTCGGCCTACGAGTCGACGACCTCGAGATACGGGAACGCACCGCCGCCACCCTCGCCTGCCAACAACGACGCCTACCAGGACGAGCAAGGTAATTGTCTTTATACGTGTACACCCGGTGCGACCAGCCTTCTGGCCACCTTTGGCTCTTGCGCGAGGCATGCTCCTCGCCGCGACGGTTTTGCGTCTGCGTCCGCGGCTGCGTCCACGTGTGCGTTTCCGCAGGTGGATCCGTGTTGCTTTTACCTCAGTGTTTCTCAACCATTTGCATCGTTAGTGCGTATATGCGCGTAATTCGTCTGGTTACCATCGGCACGGCGCATATGCAATACAGATATCTGGCGTAAACGAAGACGGCAATTATTTCCTAAACGATCGAAAATGTCAAACAATGTGTTAAATACATTGCTACAATAAGATAATTTTAGGTAATTGCTACAAGAATATATAATAAAAAGTATGGGGTTCGATTGAAAAATTTATACGTGAACTTCGCTAGACTCTTTTAGGTCATTTCAAGATCAAATAATTATCATCACCGTATGTATCCCACCATACCATACAACATTTATCTAACATATTTGTTCATATTTTTAATTGCTTAGGAAACAATTGCTGTCTCCTATTATACCAGACATTTGAAGATATCTTGTGTAGATTGTTGACCATAAGAAAAAGAAAAAGATACATTTTATCAGCGTGATCATTGCTATGTGGCTCTATACATCGAATATTTCAATGTGCTGAAAAATAGTTAGATTTTATCTCTTTTGTTATTATTAACCCTTGGCGCTCCATTAGTTCCTCTATGGCGCCATTGATGTATACTATACGTACAGGTCCGTGCCGTAGCACTGATCTATTATAGGCTTGACCTGCTGAAACTGCCTGGGGGTGGAATAGATTAACGAACTAAATTTTTAATGAACTAATGAACTAAAAAGGAGAATAACGTTTTTATTTATGCCACGTTACTTTTACTCATACATATGTTTGGAAACATTTTCGTTTAAATACAATCAGGGCAAGTTTCGGTGATAAGAATGAATTATCCGCTTTTTTATGTGATGCAAATCGGTTAACCCTTACTCTGTAAATCAGGGTCACTCGTGTTCGAGTGAGTTTGAAAGATAGATGTACTTCGTAAACCGATTCGAAGAAACCGTCTGGCAATTCAAGTTATTCTTGAAATGTTTCGTTCAAAACTTAATTTGGTAGGTTTAAAGAAGTATGTATGAATTCTTTTATATTTTCAAAGCGACTTTTACAGAATGAAAAACGTGTCGGTTATGAATGACAGTGGTTTACGGTTCAAGGATTAACGACACACTTCGGGTAGAACCTAAGGGGCCCCATTCATTAATTATATAGGGGTCCCGAGAGGGGAGGGAGTTAAATATCTTTACATGACCGTATGAACATAACAAGAATAAAAGCTTAGAATTGAACGTACTTCAAATCGAATTCAAACTCGACCCAATATAGCCGGATTAAATCTATATGTCATGATTACTTTTTACAACGCCAAATTAAGGAATTGATTTTAAGAAATAGCAAGAAAATGGCAAGTGTTTTTCGTGAAATTACCTGAAAGAGAAATAGTGACCCTGTTTGTCTTTAGACTAGTCGATTCTAAAATAAGATGATTTATGCAGTTAATGGCTGTAGAAATTGCATCATGGCAAATATATAAAAGCCTTCAGTTCGATTCTGTTACGTGTATTATACAATCGGTAATTGAATGTTATTCGTCATTAAACGTCTAATTTACATTAATAGAAAGCCTAATTTATTCGAATGAAACCATTTAGCGTAATCTACCTCATAGTAACGCATTCCACGTATTCACCGGACTGTATTTTTGCGTAGTGGTGCAATTTCCATGGCTGCTAGTGTAATTATTAACCTTTTCACGAGAAAGCATTTTTGGAAGTTAGGTTCATTTCGTAAGCTTAGAATCATCTCATTGCTCATATATATATATATTTACTTACGTACTTTAATACATATACTAATAAGAAATTTTATTTATTTTACTTGTTTAATAATTATACTATATATATTTCATAATATTCTCTTGCTTGAGATCTGGATACTTACTTTCAAAGTGTTAAAATTCATTTATTGTATGCTAAGTGTGCTGAAAGATAAAAGTTTTTATCCCAGCGGTCACTAGAATCGTACACGTAGATTTCACGGCTAATGACTATCATTAAACATAATAATAATAATGATGATGATGATGATGATGATGATGATGATGATGATGACGATGATGATGAAATTGAAAGTACATGTGTACTTTATACATGTGTACTATTTGGCTAGAATAACTCGTGAAAGGGTTAATCCTATCGTTCGTACAAAATATGCGAAACGTATGCAATACGATAAAACATGTATACGCATAAATGTTTGCAGGCGAATAATAATTATTATTATATACGTTGTGTAGATTACATTCGTCGTGTTGTTCCACTAGGCGGCGGCGGAGGCGGCGGCAGCAGTAGCAGCGGCGTGCTACGACAGCACAAAAAGCAGCGCAGAAAATCGCGAAGCGGAAGCAGCTCACCGAGTGGCAGTAGCCGTTCCGGTAGCAGCAGCAGCAGCCGCAGCGGCAGTTCCGCTGGCAGCACTTCCGGGGGCAGTACGTCGCCCGGCAGTTCGCCACACCGCACCGGAAATGCCGCCGTCACCGAGGACCGCAGGCCGCTGGCTATCTGCGTACGTAATTTACCGGCGCGCAGCAGCGACACCTCCCTCAAGGATGGCCTCTTCCACGAATACAAGAAACACGGGAAAGTGACGTGGGTGAAGGTCGTGGGGGCGGCCGGCGACCGTTACGCCCTGGTATGCTTCAAGAAACCCGAGGACGTGGAGAAGGCCCTCGAGGTGTCGCACGACAAACTATTTTTCGGCTGTAAGATCGAGGTCGCGCCCTATCAGGGTTACGATGTCGAGGACAACGAGTTCCGGCCTTACGAGGCCGAGCTCGACGAGTACCATCCGAAAGCGACGCGAACGCTCTTCATCGGGAACCTCGAGAAGGACGTCACCGCGTCCGAGCTTAGGAAGCATTTCGAGCCTTTCGGCGAGATAATAGTAAGTTGCGTATGGTTTCTTCCCTTCATTTCGCGCACAACCGAAAACGTGGTACAGCACATCCCCTACGTTGCTCCGTGCAATTCACGCAAAGACTTCTATATCTTTTGTTGTATTTTTATGAGAGTAGCATCGGTACTATTTAATAGTACTCGGTGTTCGGACGATTTTTAATTATAGTACTGTCCCTCGGGTTGTCACACCGACACACACTGTAATTCAAAGTAGTATGCGTATGATCGTGTTTGGATTAATTTTCATTTGGGAAAACCTACCCAATCCATTGATAATACTTTCATAAAGATGTAATCATACGTATGAAAACTTTTCCTCGTCTAATTGTTTACGCGTATTTAGATTCGAGATGATAATCGCTATCTACCCTGTTTTCAAGTGAATTGTTTCACCTAATTTTGTCACTTGAAAATGGGATTACCAGCAACGTTTACGAAAACCAACTGACCATTCACAAATGAGTAAAAGCATAAATTATTTAAATGAAATGTAGGCATCGTAACTGCAGTAAAAATGGTTTAACCCATACTTTATTCAGACTATCGCCAATTACACGGCAATAATTGGAAACCGAGTTCTCAATTAGTCGGGGTTAAGTTTGAAATACAAAGGGTCATTCCAGGAATCGACCTTTTGTATTTGGAGTCGAAGTCCAGCCACGCGTGAAACGTTCAACGAGGAAAGTGAATGAGTTACAACAAGAATAAACGCAATAGCTAGCGGGCCTCGTACTAGCTAGGAACTCGGTGATCGAACTTTAAAGCGATGGCGAACGTGTGTCGGTGTGTGACAGACACTAAGGTAACTGGGATCTGCTGAAAATTTTAAAATATAGATTAGGACACGTATTAGAATTTATTTAAAATATTGCATACCAATTTGTTATGAAAACTCAACAATCTTGTTCATGGTGCCTACATTATCTCTTTGAAGTTTCAACTGATAGCTCAACTTTAGATCGAGATAAATTTTTTAAATAAAATTGACTACCATACTCGTTAAAGGTCTTCGAGCAAACTCAAATGCGACTCGAGCGTGACTTTAAGTACGTACTGTAACTTTAAAAGAGGAATGATTTTGAACAAAGATTATACACACACTCTCTCTCTCTCTCTCTCTCTCTCTCTCTGTAATATGTACCACGATTTCGGCTGTGCGCTGTATTTAGTAATGAATTTTGCAAAGAACACACGATGGTCTGAAACGTTCCTGGATATTTTTTCAAACGAGAAAGGATTGATAGATTGACAGAGTTAATCCGTTCTGCGTTTATGATCAGCGATTCGCTATCCTTGACTTCGGATCGTCCACTACCAGCGTATCGCATTATACTTGGTTTCCTGTTTTCTCATAATGTTGACATTAGTATTCCGACAGAACGCGAAGTAATGCTCGAAAATGATATTTAAATTTTGTTGACTGCATTAATACGTCCTTGTGATTTGAAATTAAGATTTCGGATAGAAGTAATGCTTCTGTGCGATACGCACATGAATTAACCATCGATTGCGGAATATAAATTAAGTAAATATATTTATATAATAGAGTAAAATTTATTAATACACGTGGTTCAAAAAAATTAAAGATTCGTCTACTAAAGTGGTCTATCGCTCGACTATTTTAAAACTGTTAATAACAAGTTAAACGTTCAATGAAAATATTGTTTTATTAAGTTCGCAGTATTTATTCTGAACCACATTTTTTAATTGTTTTGAACAGTGCTCTTTTAAATAAATAGAAAATGAGAATAGAAATCTAGTGTACAGGATGTTTCATATTGCGACAAGATATTGTACAAATGAAGATTTTACTCTACGTACTTGAGTAACTAATCAGTTTACTGTAATAATAAATTCAATTTATTCGGGCCATATTATATTTGTATCGAGTAATATACACAAAAGTGTATGTTACATGTTGTAAGTTCATTTAATGTTAGCTGTTATGACTTTGATGTATTAACGATCTGTGATTGTTCACGATTCTCTTTAAATTATAAACGGCATTAGCAGACGTGTGGCCAATTTTTTCAGGATTAATTCTTAATGCGTAAAGAAATCTAATAGTTCTTTACCAATTTATAATCTTAGCCTTCGTTGCCCAGATGTAATCAATTAAAGTTAACGATGCGGTAGATAGTAAAATGGGAAAGGATTTTCTTTATTCATATTGACATAAGGAATTAATCTTGAAAAAGAAGTATTAATCCGATTATTTAAAAGGGTAACTTCTTACGTTGAATTTGCAATGTTATTAGAAATGACTGATTACGATACTAAAACTTGATAGATACGAAAGTATTTAGAATGAAATATTTCTTCTGAAAATGACTTTTCGAAGAAACGATGAAAATTGTACGCTCGTTACGAAACATTCTGTACAGGAAGTTTAAAATTGCGTACGGCATCGATTTAAATCACGTCGAGATTTAAGCATCGATGAATCGCTAGTTGTGCGAACAGAAAAGTGAACACGATGTTTGTTTGATCTTCCAGGAAATAGATATTAAGAAACAGGGCGCGGTGTCAAGCTATGCTTTCTGCCAATACTCCGACATCGGTAGCGTCGTCAAAGCTATGCGATCGATGGACGGCGAACACCTGGGTGCAAATCGAATAAAACTTGGATTTGGAAAGTCGATGCCCACGTCCTGTGTTTGGGTCGATGGCATTGGAGGTAATTATCATAAAGCGTTGCAACACCTTTCCTGCCGAATTGGCTTTTCAAGAAACTATCGACACGATTCAATTTTATTATACCGAGCGAAATGGTAGCTTCTCCCGATCGAACAAGTAACGAATTACTTTGAACCGTTAGGTATCTCGGTAAGTCCTGGTGAAACTATGCTCGACGTCAACTTAATTGGCCGCTCAAGGCCATCGAGGGGTAACTCCCATCGTACCGTTTAGCTACAATGCCGCTCTATCTCTCGTCTCGTGACAGTAAATAATGCCAGTAAAACAGAAACAGGGACATCGGGTTACAGGAGTTCTGCCCAACGTGAGCTACGAAGCTCAGGGTCCTTCCCCCGTTCTGTCTCCGTTGGTATGGTACAGAAACGCTGGCTGATGCCGCGTTGCGTGTGCGTAGTAGCCCGTGCAAATAAGTACAGTGTGGAATGTAAAGGGGGACGAAGCTGTACACTGGACCGACTTGGCGAGCGTCTACGGGAGTAAGTAAACGTATGAGTGAAAGAAGAGTACATCAAGAAGACCACCAGCGACGGTTGTACTACGATGAAGTGTTTCTGTGAGTCAAAACGTGTTTGTTCATCCATGTATTTGAAAAAAATTTGTTTGTAGCGATACCCCCAAGAGAAGGGGGTAGTTCGTGACGTCACTCATAGTGGGGACGCGGCCTTGAGCGGCCAACTAAGTTGGCGTCGAGCATAGTTCCGAAAGGGCGCGGCTCACACCTTTTGCAAATATCACACTTTTCTCATTATATGATGTTGCACAGAACATCCAGTTCCACGTAAGGCTGAGTTGAGCTTGCAACTATCTTGGCCAAGTAGAACGATCATTTATCATCCATAGAAATGAATACGAAGCGGGTCTGATGAAAGAGTTGCCAATAGTAATAAAGTGAATCGTCGGTAAGTGTCGCAGAGTCGGGATTGTGACAGTTATCGACTAAACGATGTTAACAATCGTTGTTATCTCCCCTCGTTGCGATATTCAGATATATCAGAATTTTTATAGTCATATAACTTACTACGAAAACTGCAAATATAGTAGTAACATAATAGAATTCGTACTTATTTCGAGACATTTAGTTTAGTATCATGCTCTTCCCAGTGGAAATGTTTGTTCCGTTTTATCGAGTGCACATCACACTTGAAAAACAAGAAAAAGAAAGCGTTATTTTATCCCATATTCTTTCTCATCGTTCACGCTTAAACTCTCCATTTAAAGACCATTTGTTAACTGATTTTATTTAAACGTAACATCATTTCTAAACAAAATTCGCGCATTGTAATTCATGCCATACATTTGTGATTTCACACCTTCTGCGTTGGTCGACCGTTAGAGACAATGTCAAGGCTCGCTACGAGTCACCAATTGAAAGCGGCGGGGATAACCATGCGACACTTATCGACGACTCACCGTAGAAATGATATCGTGCGATGAACGACTTGCAGATAAGACGTGTGAAATTACAATTTCTCGAACATTCTTTTAGATTGTATGTCGGAAAAGTACCTGAACATGCAGTTCCATCAGTTCGGACCGATATCACAGGTCGTAGTGGACCGAGAGCGAGGACACGCTCTGGTCTTCTTCGAGCAGATCAGCTGCGCCCAAGCTGCCGTGAAAGAGATGAGAGGAGCAGCGCTTCGGGGGCGTAGGCTTCAAGTGGACTTCGCTTCCAGAGAGTGCCAGGAAACCTTCTACGAGCACCTGGAGCGACAGGGTATCGCTGGTGAAAAACCTTGGGACACGAGGCCTTCTCCAGCAACAACCTTCGATGTCTCGTATGTATATTTTCCGGAACATTGTGTGGTCTTACTCCTAACACTACATTGTGAATCGCTGTATGATAATCGAGGACATATTCTTCCCAACTCGTAAATGTGGGACGAAGAATTCAAGTTACAACGTATGTTAGGTGTCCCGCGAGCTATTCGACAAATTTTCGAAGCGTGTTTAGTAGATTGTTATGGATCAGGAGTACATCATTCCCTGTGTCGGAGTTGAGACCATCAATTTACTTCGAAGCGGAGTAGTTTTCCATTACGCGATGCGTAAATGAACAAAAAACCATTTTTCTATTATATATGTCTGGACTATCGGACTTCGATTTTATTTATGAATTATTCGAAACGACCTAAAAATCGCGCGAAAGGAGTTGATCGCATATCTTAGCCAAGACACCTTTTATACGTGTATTGTAGTACGAATGAGTGATCGTATAACTAAGCAAAAATAACTCTACGCTGTACATTTTCTATTTATCAATGGTACATCGTTCTCCTTAATCCAAGGCTGGCCAACTCAGGGCTAATCTTTCATTCTCTCTACAATATATTGCATATGTCACACGAACACACGAGACCGTGAAAATATAGTACGTTCGTTATTTGAAGGATTCCTTCCAGGCGGGAGCGTAGCAATTTCGACACTGGAGTTACGGTGTCGAACTCGAGTAGCAGGTTCACCCGTTACGAGACGCCTCCGAGGTCGAGAACAACGAGTTACTCCCGCACGTCTGGAGGTGGCAGTACGCCCGGTGCCAGTCCTGCGCATCCCACGGCGATGTCCCGTAGTAGTAGGCGTTCTTATCAAGACACCTATTACGACGGCGACTATAGCGAGCCAGCGCCCCGTCGATTCCGCAGCTACGACGAGTTCAGTCAAGGCAGCGGAGCCAGTCACGATGACTATCAGAGCAGCGTGCTCGGCGATGGTAAGCTCAACGACGACGATTGCCCGCCACCGTCGCGTCGTCACGTCGTCCAGAGCGTGGTGACCAGCGTCGAGCCACCTGCACCGCCACCGCCTTTGTTACCCCCACCGGACATTAGACACCTTCAGAAGGAGCGAGTCCACCTGTTGGAGCAACTCGAAGAGTGTCACAGTAGCGGCGACGAGGTGGGATTCGCCCCGAAGAAGCGCGCGAAACTTGACGGGGCGTCCACGACGATACTGTGCGAGGACGACGAACCCGAAATCGCGTCTTTGCTCGTCACCTCGCACTCCAGTAGAAAGGGTATGGACATTCGACGCGTCAGTGACAGTAAAGTGGTGGTGCATCACGGAACGAGAAGAGGTAGCTGCGAAGGCAGAGGCCCTGGACCTTGTAAACGTCGACGGGATGTTACTAGCAGGTATGCTCGTTTCTCAGTTATTAATATTCAATAATACAATTACTTGAATGATTCAAACGAAGACAGATATGCGAGGCATTCACGATCTGGTTCTTCGTGGTTGATACAACCGAGACATCGGAATGCAGGTGTCCTTTGTATAACGTTTTCTTCATCATTCCATTTTAGCTTCTTCGGAGAGATACATTTGTGATCTTTTGGCAATTTTGTAATCATTCCTTAGCTATCCTTCTTTTACAATTTTGTAGGATCTTATTGTATTCTTCGTTCATATTAGTCTAATATCAGTATACCATTTAACTTGTAAAGAAGTAAAGCTTTTAGTAAGTGTTTTATTCAAAGGACACGGTTTACATTCGAAAGAATTAGTTAGAATCAACCACAAAGAAAGGAACAATTAACACTTGACATGCGGGTAACGTACTTTTACGTTTTTCGCAGTCTGTCACTGGATCGCGAATCACCGTAAAAATACGTATTTAGTAGATTTGTGCTATAGGTTTACGAAAAAACGCGACAAAGTGTATACTCGCATGCAAAGTGTTAATAAAATCATCACTTGCGCACATATACAATCACCTGAATCATGAATAAAAAAGCCGATTCTAATTTCGACAAAGTGATTTGTTTGGCCTATTGTGTACAGAGATTTGTCTCTTGAAATCTTTGAAAGATTTCTTACTCGTTTCTGTTACTGTTTTTTACTCGAAGACAATATCAATATCGTCGACTAATTTCTGTTACAGGCATCACGAACACCACGACGGATCACGGCCAGGAACACCGCTGGTCGACGAAAGACCGGAGAACTTGGTGCCCAGCGAACCGCGACGGTTTCGCGAAAGGAGTCACGAGGGGCCTCTCTCGCTGCCGTTGCCAAGGTTTGCTGCCCAGATGCTGAATAACAACAATAATAACAACAACACCAGTAGCAGCAACAATAACAGCAGTGGGAGTAATCGATCGAGTAACGTTAGCCTCGCGAAAGTGACCAGTCCGCCGTGCGCCAATTTGTCGACGGCACCCAGTCCCCGCACAGCCCCTCAGCCACCAGCTTCGCCCCCGCCTCGCAATCCCAGCCCGAGTCCAACGAGCTCCGACAGCGAGACGGCACCCCAATCGCCCAGCCTTGAGGAGAGGATACGTTCCCTCGACGAAAAGTACGAGAAGTGGTCCGGTTCTAGAGCTTTAAGCGCAGCCGGTGGCGACGCCTTGGCTAAGCTCGACGCCACAGCATCCGAGAGGTTCAGGTTTCGTCACAAGCTGCTCGACCTGGATTTGCACGAGGTGCAACCGTCCGATATCGTCAAGTCGGTTCTTGCCAAACGTAGTGTGTTCGACGAAGACTCTAAGCGTCTAGAGAACTTTAGCGAAAAGTATGAACCCCGTGAGTTCACCGGCGTTCTGAACGTCGGCTCGATGATCGGTACGAGCGGCCTCGCATCGAGCGGAGGTTGCACCAGCAAGGTCTGCCTGCAGTATCCGTTTCCTAGTCATCCGCCGGTGCAATTGACCGGCGGCGGTTCCACGCAGATCGGCATGAGCGTGTCCCTGTCCTCGTTAACGTTCACGACCACCATGTCGTCCGCGCTCAAGACGGACCCACGGGCAACGGTGCAGCACAACTGCGTGCATCCGACACCAGCGACACCCATCACACCCGGCACATCAATCAAAACCGTTAGTCCCGAATTGCCACCAGTCTCGCTGCCGATCGGTCTCGGTAGCGGGACGGCGGCCAGTAGTGGCAACAGTAGTGGTTTAGCGTCAGCTAGTAGTATTCTTAGCAGCAACGGTAGCGTAAGTAGTATTCACGTTCTGGGAGCCTCGACGAGTCGAGGACTGACCAACGTCGCAACGTCGATACCCATCGCGACAACGACGTCCACTGTCGCGTTTCCTGCACCGATGACGACGCTGGTCACCACAACGGCGACAACGACAACGACAGCGACAACGACGACGACGACGACGACAACAACGTCAACAACGCCGACGACGACCGCGTCGAGCACGACTTCCTCGACCATCGGCCAGTACCAACCTTCCATGTCCAGCGCCGCGTCCACGGCGCCACCGTCTTCCACGACGTCCTCGTCGAACTCTTCCTGCTCGTTGTCGTCGTCGTCTTCGTCCGTGGACAGCTCTCGGGCGCGCTTGAGGAAGGAAGTCGGCAATCGGGAGAGCAGGGATTCCCGCGACAGCAAGGACGGTAGAGACTCCAAGTACAGCAAAGGAAAGGACTGCCAGAGGAAGTCGCGGAAAGAGGATGCGGACGTCGAGAGGGTTCGCAAAGATCGCGAGGAGAAGGACACCGTGGTTAACGAGATCGTCGAGCCCGAGAGTCACGCGAGGGAATTCAAAGAAAACAAGGAAGTGCGTTACGAGAGGAAGGAAAGGGAGGAAAAGGAACGACGGGAGAAAGATGACCGTGAAAGGCAAGAGAGGAGGGAGAAAGAGGATCGCGACAGGCAGGAGCGCAAAGAACGCGAAGAGAGGCGGGAGAAGGACGAGGAAAGACGGGAGCGCGAAAGGTTGGACAAAGAGCGACACGAGAAGGACAAGCGTGAAAGGGAGGAGAGAGAACGAGAACGAGAACGAAAAGAACGGGAAGAGAGCGAGGCTAAAGAAAAGGAGAGAAGAGAAAAGGAACGGTTGGATCGTGAGAAGCGAGAAAGGGAGGAGAAGGAACGCCAAGAACGTCGGGAACGAGAAGAAAGAGAAAGGAGGGAGCGCGAGGATCGGGACAGGAAGGAACGAGAGCTTCGACTAGAGCGGGAGAAGCAAGAGAAAGAACGCGTCAGAAAAGAAAGAGAAGAACAAGAGAGGCGAGAAAAAGAGGAACGCGACAGAAGACGGGAAGAAAAGGAGCGTCTCGACAGAGAAAGAAAGCGCGAAAGAGAGGAGAAGGAACGTCTCGAACGGGAACGACGGAAAGAGAAAGAGGAACGGGAACGAGCGGAGAAAGAGAAGCGCGAGAAAGAGGAAAGGGAAAGATTCGAGCGCGAGAAGCACGACCGAGAGAAGAGGAGAGACCGCGAGGACCAGGAGAGGCGGGAAAAAGAAAAAGCCGAGCGCGACAAAAGAAGAGATCGAGAAGACAAGGACAAAGAGAAAAGAGACCGCGACGAAAGCAGACGACAGCCTACTGAAAATCATCTTCATCAATCAGTCTCACAGTCTCAGAATCAAATTTCACCTGCGCCAGTGTCCATCAAGCGACGATGTTCGTCGCAAGACGGACCCACGGAGGACGAAGCGAAACGCATGAAGATCTCCGAGCACTGGAGGGACAGGCCTAGGCAGAACAGAAGATCGGAGGATCGGAAACATCGAAACGATTCTCACCGTTCGAGTCGCGACAGTAGAGAGAGTCGAGACAGCAAGGAGAGCAGTAGCGGATCTACGCAGACCCAAGACACCAGGGATACCAGTCATGGAGAACTCAACAGGGAATCCAACAGAGAGAACAGGGAGAACAATCGCGACAGTGGCAAAGAGAAACAGCGAAGCAAAAAGAATCGTTCTGAGAAAGAGTCCAGGGAACGAAGTCCCAGGGTCTCTCACGAGTCTGATAAAGAGTTCTTATCCAGACTGGAGCTCTCCAAGCGCAACGAGTCGAACTCGCCCAGCGAGCAAACATCCGTCGGTTCCAATCACTCTCGAGAAATACAGCAGCACCATCAGCAACAGTCTTCCATGAATCTGCACAGCGACGTCGACGATCCACTGTCCACCCACGACATGGAGGTTGCCAGGCATCCGCTGGCCACTGACACGGACAGCGACGAGCCGAAGAAACATTCCATCTTCGACATCGTGGACGACGAGCCTGCTTACATTAGCATGTACGATAAGGTTAAGGCGCGTTCGACGAAGAACATGCAGAAGCTCGAGGAGGAGAAACGTCAGGTTCGCCTGAAGGACAAGTTCTCACAACTGAAACAGAGTCGAGCGAGACGGGAGGAGAAGAAACAGAGCACGTCGTGGGACGGAGATTCGGTGTCTAGCAAGGCTCTGACGGAGGACGAGGCGACGTCCGAGTCGGACTCTGCCAGGGCGAAGTCTCTTTCCAGGAAAGGCTCGCGATCTCGAATTCATTCCGATACCAGCGAGGAGGACGAGTCGTTCAACAACAAGATTCGCAAGGTGAAGACTGAGAGGTTCCTGGAGAGCGACGTGGACCTTGGTTTCGCCGATACCGAAGAGAAGCACAATCCTCTGGAAACGTCGACCGTGGTCGTGAGCCACGCGACTGTGAAAGAAGAGCCGCGCACGTCCGACGACGACGAGAGAATGTCCGTCGCCTTCCGCGGAAACCATCCAGCGATCGTCGTGAACAATCACGAGAGGGATTCGCGCAAGAAGTCGCATAAGAAGAAACAGAAACGGCAGAAGAATTCTATGTCGAACGAGGAGAGTATAAAAACCGAGCCGTCGGAGGGCATCGAGCACAAGAACAAGTCCAGTACCGTGACGGCCAACGCGGAGTGCCGACCTAACCATACGTCCGAATCAGTCGCTATCACCACTACCAATACATCTGGGACGACAGTGTTGGAGAACACCGAAGAAAGAATACGATCGGACAAGAAGCAACGAAACAAGAAGGACAAAAGGAGGGATCGAAACGGAGACGAGAAGGCAAAGGCAAGGAGGAAGAGGCTCAACAGACAGGAGGCTAGAGACTCGCAGCGAATGGAAGACATTTTTGGCCCACTTTCCGACGACGTGGACGACGGTCCATCCAACACCTTCTTCAACCGTTTAGGCAACATCGCGTCTGAGAACAATGCTTACGCTACCGACAGCGATGGAGGTCACAGTCCCGCGTTGGACGTGGAAAGGGTCAGACGAAAAACAGAGAAGAAACGACGTCATCAACCCGAAGACGAGAACAGCGTCGACTTGGCCGAGGCGGGACGCGAGATCGAAGCGAAGCTCTTGGGGCTACCGAATTCACCCAAATCGGCTACAGCGTGTACAGAGAACAACGATCACGATGTGTTTCGATTCACCGATGATAACGACAGTGTCGAACCGTCTACGCCGTCTACGGTACCAGAAAAAATTAAAGAAAAGAAGAAGAAACGGAAGAAGTCCAAGGAGGAGCGTAGTCGGAAGGATTACCATCATCATCACCATCACCATCACCACCATCACGAAAAAAGCGGTGAACTGCCCTATTTGGGCGCGGATCCTAGTCCCCCGAGAGCCAGCAGTCCGTTAATTACGAAAACAATATCTCCGACTTTGCCCACGCCTAGGGATTCTTTGCTGAGTCCTATCCCGAAAGTAACGACGAACGTGACGACGGTACCATCGATGACACCTCCGGTTGTTAGCGGCAGCATCCAACCTTCGAAATCAGAGAAGAAGAAGAAGGATAAGTTTATACCTGGATTTGGCATAGAGATCGACGAAACCATCCACGAAAACGCGGTGAAGAGTATTTCCGAACCAGAAGAACGCGAAGGAAATGCTCAAACGCGCACTTCCAGAGAAGATTCCGAAGTTGCTGCGCCATCGACACCGCCTGCGCAGACGGAAGACAAACCCCGAGTTGCTATTTCTCAGGAAGAGACGGAGGACGCTGTGGCCGCGTTGCTAGAGGAGACCTTCGGTGGGTCCACCGAGGACTTCTCCTACGAGGGCGAGGAAGAGGACGCAGAGGTGGATGACACCGTTGGACCTCCGCCTGAGGCGCCTCAGGAAGACGTCGAAGAAATGCAGCAAGCGGTCGAGAGCTTGAATGCCTCCGCTGGGGAGGGCGAGACGGATTTGAAACCCGACACTCCGCAAAGCGAGCACGATCTGCAGATAGACACGGACACGGAGGAGGACCCGAACTACGAGACCTTCGACCTGACGCAACCACCGAAAACGCCAGACATTCCATCATTCTACAAGTCACCTACCAAAACCATCAGCACCGTTGCTCCTTCTATAGCTGTAGCGGAGAAACCCGTGGAATCGCGCATCGCTATACCCGTCAAGCCACAGAGTCCACCAGCGTCCGTGATCGCGCATTCGTGGAATCTGAACGAGAAGCCTCGCGACGTCGTCAAAGCTGTGCAGTTGGAGACCTCGGAGTCGAACGCCAGCGTTGCAAGTCCAGAGAGAATCACAACCACTCAAGCTCATCGCGCCTCGACATCTCCACCGCCGCAGTACAAGCAACCTGCTCTCGGCCCTTGCAGCGTCCCCATCACCAGCGAGACACCCAGGATCACTGCAGTCAGCCCCAGACCACCCATCAGCGTGCAGCCTTTGTATCAGAAACTTCCCGTGTCTCCGCAGTCTCAGATGGTTCCGATGCGACAGGCCTCTCCCAGAATGCAGAATATATCCACGGTTTCTTCTTCTGCGGCCTCTAATCTGACACCTTTGCCACCGTTGGTTCCTTCGAGAATACCACCTTTGGTACCGTCCCAGCTGTCGCCTAGAGTCTCGCAACCTCTGTCGCCCAATGGCCAATGGTCGAGAAACCCATCCTTGAGTCCTCACGTGCCCAACGTTGGAAAACCGTCTCCGCCCTCTGCGAGAATCGCTGTAAGCGCGTCGGTGTCTTCTCATAGACCGGAAACTCCTGCACAGCAGATTTATTCCACCGCGGCTACACAACAACCTGTTATTCAGCACGCTCCGGGCATGAGAGCTCTGGCGCCTAGTTATCCTCGGGGTGGTTTACCACCGTTGACGTTAAATATTCCTCACCGTCCTTACATGCCAGTGAAAAGTTCTAGGGACTCGGGTCTGGGTGGGAAATCCGTAATAGAAACTTTGCTACCGGTCAACCCTAACGAACCTCCTCAACGATTGGATGAACCTAAATTGTCACCTGCAGTGATACCCGAACCGACCAACAAAGCCTCCACGTCGCCTAAGGTTCCGTCGCCTAACCAACCGCCTACGTATATTCCTGAAACGGCGAAGATCGAAATTAACGCTAGCACGTCCAGTCCTGTGTTTGGTAAACCAGCCACCATTCCGGATACCTGTACACTTTCATCCAGATCTCAGAAACAAATTCCTGGTTCCATCACGACGGACACCAACCTACTGTCACCGAGACAGAAGCAAGAACTGTCGAGTCTGCAACTTCTGACTACCCACGTACCGCGCTCTTCGACACCTAGTCCCGTGATAGTCGCCCATGGACAACCTCATCTGGTCCACAAGTCTGTGGTGCATAGTATCGGAGCGTCGACCGTTGCCACGACCAACCAACCGCTGATCAAGACTGTCGTCCCGATAGTTCCGCAACAGATCGCTTCCACGGTCGCTGTTTCGGTGTCCGAAGAGAAATGCGTCATCACGCAAACAGTGTCTTTGAGTACCCCTCAGAGACACTCGCCCGTCTCGCAAAGCAGTCAACTTCCAAAGCCGCATATTCCTCTAGTATCCACCGTTACTCAAGCTATCATGACCAGAGCAGCCCCTCCTGTCGTCTCCGCTATACCAGCGCTATCCGTGACCGAACAAACCAAGGTCGAATGCTTGGAGCCGCCCGAACAAGAACTGGAGTTGGATTCCAGCGCGCAGATGGCGCAAACCGCTCAACCCATGCAGTTAACTCCGCCTATACAACCCACTCAGCCGATGGACGTCGTGAAAGACGAGCCCGTTGACGTAAAGCACGAGGACACGACGATCAAAGAGGAATTTCCAAACACCGAATCCGAATTCCCGTCGAAACAACCATGCGCTAACGAAACGAAGCCGAAGATAGAGCAGCAAGACCAGCAAGTGAAAATTGAGAAACCACCACCGTGTATTCCGAAAGTAGAGCCTACGGATAACATCGACTCGAAGGTGGAGATCGAGACTGTTAAAACCGAGCCTATCAGCGAGATAAAGGAGGAGGAGGCCGCGAAAGAGACCGAAGAGGCAGACATGGAAGAAGAATCGACGGAGGACCCGTTGAAAGAACCGAGCACGGATCCATTGGCCATCGATGTGTCGAAAGAGGATCCAGCCGACAGTAAGGAAGACAGCGATTACTGGTCGGCGAAGGAAGTGAACATCGAGAGTGTGATAAAGAAGGTCGACGCTCTCTGCGATGGCGAGAGCAACGACGGCCACGACGAGGCTCAACACGGTCCAAACTTGAGCAACGAGACGCAAGAGCAACCAAAGATTGAGGCTGAGTGGTTCAGTGCAGAATCGACGGAGAGCGAGAGTAAGAAGAACTCCTCCGCGAACGACGAACAGGACGAGGGCGTGGAGACGTGCGAGAGCGAATCGACGAGGAGTCGTCGTAGTAGAACAAAGAACAAACGAGGTGTTAGCAGTCGTGGTGGGGTCACCACGAGACGAAGCGTTAGGAACACGACGACCGTTTCCCACAAACGTGGCGTTGGCAGAACTCCCAGAGGAAGCAAACACCATGTCGAGAAGAGCAAGTTACCAGCCGACGTTTACGAGTTCCACGATGACAGCGAGGAGGACAACGCTGGACGCCCGCGACTGATTCTTACGATCAAGTCTCCCGTGCCGAATCTTACCGGTCCCAACACCCAGCCAGCGACACCTATAGCTGCGGTGAAGGAAGTACCACCGGAAGAATTCGTTTCTCCAGCTGCAAATACGAGAAAGTCGAAACGGTTAGCCGAGAGAGACGGTAGCCGTAACACCATCGACGACGTCATCGAGGACGTTGTGCGCGGATCAGCAGCGAACAAAGGTCTGGGTGGAACAGGTGTTCACGCTACGAGACGAAGCACCAGGCACAACAACGCCCCACGCAGCGTCCAATCTACCGTGCAAGTGACGGAACCTCGAAAGTCACCTAGAGGCCCGCGGAAATCTATTAGACGAACATCCGAGAACAACGACGACAGCAGCGAGGAGAAACTTAAGGAAGCACCACCGGCACCTCAGGAATTCCCAAGCAAGGAGGAAAGTGCTCCAGTTCGGGATGAACCTCCTAAAGTAGAGGAAACGAAACAATCTACCCCGCCACCCACGCAAAAGTCGGTCTCTCACGAACCGATGACGTTGATAGACCCGGTGACAGGAATGTTGATACCAATGAGGGAGTCTGAAGAAGGTCAATACATTCCAGTTTCTACGGCTGCTGGTCAAATACAAGCCGCGAACAGAGCTGCGTGCGAATCGCGTACCATCTCTGCTGCAATGGTTCGGAATGATACTCCTAATGCAACAGCTGAAGTGTTGCGACCAAAGCCACCTCAGCCTGAAAACTTAACAATCCCTGAGGAAACGAAGAAAGAACCGACCGTAGAGCCGGTTCAGACTCAGCAGATTCAACCTCAGACCAGTGTAATCACAAAGCCTCAGTCTCCAGCTGTTCAGGTTACTTCCACGGTCAGCGTGGTTCAGACAGTCACAACGTCTACGACCGTCACCTGCGTACCAACGACGACGGTGACGACACCTATAACAGCGCCTCCGATATGCACGTCCCAGCCTAAACCTACCAGTCTGAAGGCACACGTTTTGAATGCTAGCAAATTGGTAACACCGCCCGTGCAACAGCAAATCGTCATCACCAAACCTATAGCTCCGAGCATACCTAGTCAGTCGGTGGTACAGAACATCGTTAAACCGACGCAGGCTGTTCAAGGACTTCATCTGCAGATACCAAGTAGAGTCGTCTCACCGAGCTTGAGTCCACGCGCGAAGCAGTCGCCTCAGATTAGCGCGGCGAATGGAAAGAGTCAAGGTCAACCCATGTCCCCAGTTCTCAACAACACCGGTGTTCCACCGAACCCAAAACAACATCTCTTGCAAGCAGCTAAACAACAAGCATCCACAATAGTCAATCTGCCTCAGAAGCTACCGATGAACGTCCATCCAGCCAGCGTGACGACAGCTCCCACTCCCAGGATTCACCAACCTGTCTCGCAACCCGCCGCGCTAAAGGGCATCAATGGTCAACCGCATCCTTTGAATCCGAAGGCTCACTTGCTCCAAGCTGTAGTGCCCCCGATAGTCTCAGGTGCCGTAGCAAGTCCACCTACTCAGCCGCACCTTATGAACGCGCAACCCGTCGGTGTGAACTGTTCTAGACTTCCAGCACCAAAACCATCGGTAAGGATGTTCTTCTCATAACCAAACAGTAGGAATTAAATACAAGATTACAGGGTTACTATAGGGTTGAAAAATAAGGTAGTATTAGGTTGTCCCGAAAGTTTCTTTCGCGAGTTGCACTCGATTATTTTATGTGATCGTGTTTATATAAATGTAACAGTAATGAAGCAAAATGAATCGTGTACAATTCTGTAATGTAACATAAAACATAAAATATTGTGCATGTATTACTTATTAATAAAGCGAAAGAAACTTTTCGGGCAACCTAATACATTGAGATACTTGTTTTAAAGACGTGTATATAGAATTGTATTAAATGTTTATTTGTCGCCTAAGAGTACATCTGTGAACCTACAAATATATTCATTTTATTAGATTATCTTAATCGATAAATTAAAATTTGTTATGGAAACTTAATAGATTTATAGTTTAATGGATGTTCGTTTAGGTATTAAGTAAATATTGATAGGAAACGCTACCTTACTTTTTTAACCCATCGCTCTGGCGTAACCCCTTAATTTAATATTTCAAAGAAAAGTATTGATTTTACTTCTGAACATGATTTCAGGTAACGGGAACGATGGAACCACCGAAAGTAGAAGTATCCATGACAGGTTGCATTATGGTGCCAACAGTGAGCCCTCAAGCACGTGGAGTACCAATATCAAGTTACGAAGGTCCATTGGTAAGCAGAGTGAGCACAATATGCATAACGTATAGATATTTGACATTTTTAAATCGCGTATCAATAATAGTACAATTAAATACATAATATTTATTAATTCTTCATGCTTATTGTATGTCTAAGTGAAATTAATCTGCTCTTGTACGATAGCAATAAATTTAATACACTAAATTTTGTATGTAATTGTGTGAAATATACATTTTTTTTTTCTAAATACGACGCAAAAACTAACTTTGCTTGGTTTTGGCTAGCATGGGAGTGCGGGTGCTGCTCCATCACCAGGGGGCCAATATGGACTTGTCCCTCCGCATCGATCCCAGAGTCCTCCATTGCCCCCACCTGCCCATCATCATGCTAATGCTTCTCAGGTACTTACTTATGCTAACTTTATTTTAAATTGAGAACACGTTAGAATATAAAATTATGATAGAAATTTCTACCAATTGAAATTGTAAAAATCCTACCTTATAAATGATGCACAGTTCCACGCGTATTATTCATTTGAAAACAAATTATATAACGCTTTATGTAATTTTCAAAATTGAAGTAAAAAGTACATGAAGTATATGTAATAACTTCAACTCATAGTAAATATAGACGCGAGTGCGCATATAATTATTTCTCAATGAACACAGTGTATCCAGTGGTTCTAACCGAGTTTTTTCTTTGCAGGGCGATGTTGTAAACCATTATGGGGGACTGTCGAGAGGTGGAGAACTACCACCGCATTACATGCATCCACAAGTGCTCCAGTATCAGTATTTGCGTGCCCAGCAAGAAGCCTTGACAGCTCCGCGCATAGCGTATCACATTCCAGGAACTCGATCTCCTCACCTACCATTGGATCCAAAGTTGGAGACTGGTATAGAAGACAGTCACAGTCCACCGTTAGAACTGAGACGAAGTACGAGAACGCCACAAGATCGCACCACGGACAGCCCACAAGTAGCTCAAGTTTATATGTTGCACGGAGCAGCTAGGTTACCACCTCCACCGCCTCAGTATAACGCAGGAACGAATCCATCCTTAACTGGTGCGCCAGCAGCGGCCAGAGGTGGATTCTACGAACCACCACCCGCGCATTTACGTTCTCAATATCCAATTGCTGCGAGCGAAGCACCGAGCGATAGAGCCATCACACCCGACAGGCCTAGGAAACATCAAGTCGTCACTCCACCTCATGCTTCGCAAGTGCCACCCCAAGCAGACTCGTTTCAAATGTTGCTTCAACGTTATCCAGTCATGTGGCAGGGATTGCTGGCTCTTAAGAACGACCAGGCAGCAGTACAAATGCATTTCGTATTCGGTAATCCCAACGTAGCGAGAGACAGTTTACCTTGCAATAGCGACGGTTCTACGCCACCGCTGAGAATCGCTCAAAGAATGAGACTGGAACAAACACAGGTCGAAGGTGTAGCGAGGAAAATGCAAGTACGTATTAGAAAATCGTATCTTAATTTTAATGTTAATGGTTTGTCGTGAACACGTAGCGCCGGATTAAGAGCTACGGCTCAAGACCTCCAGAAATTAATTCTAGACAACTTGACGAATTCGTGAGCAAGCATAAATCACATAACTTTCTGTTATCACCCTTATAGTAAATAATGGATAGGAAGTTAGTTCATACTCCACTGTTAAAATACCATTATGGATTTACTTTTGCCTAATGATAATTAATGCGAGTGAAAGGATGAATTTCTCAAAGGTAAAAATATCCAAAGAAATGTATACGTATCAATAGGAGCCAAAGAACAACTAAACAGATTCGTGTTCACGACAATCGAAGACGATGTTCTCAATAGTAATATTTCGAAAAATATTTATTCCCATGAAATTATGCAAAGCAGGCATTCGAATTGTAATTGTTACCTTGTAAAAATAAGTTTAATTTTTCTTTATCTTTCATTTTCTTATTGAAAATATCACTGGGGGCTTTGTTAAACCCCAAAGCACAGTGGTTCACAAAATTTTAATCCGACGCTATGGTACACGATATAACTCAAGGAAAGAAAGAAAATTTCTCGCACTGCGAATGATTAAGTTATTTAATTTCTCTTTCACAGATGGATAACGAACATTGTATGCTCCTGGCACTTCCGTGCGGACGAGACGAGGTAGACGTGTTGCAACAGAGCAAGAACCTTCAGACTGGATTCATAATGTATTTACAACAAAAACAGGCCGCTGGAATTGTTAACATAGCTGCACCAGGCTCTCAACAGGTGTGTGATATAGATGAAATTAGAAAATATCATCTCTTAACGTTTTCAGTGACGATTGATACAGTGTCGAGTCATTTATAGCAGTCAGCTATTATATACGTATAAATTAGTATTTAGCGAAAAATCAAAATGCTAGCAAATTATTTTAATGAACATGTGAAGTAAAGAAGGAGAAAGTGCAATACGCAAAGATAAAACTGTAATGAATTTCGTTTACAGCCTGCGTATGTAGTTCACATCTTCCCGTCGTGTGACTTCGCGAACGAAAGTTTAGCGCGAATCGCGCCGGACCTATTGCATCGGGTCGCGAAGATCGCCCATTTGCTCATCGTCATTGCCACGGTTTGAGGCCAGCCAGTGGTCTACTGGATTACAATCTACCTATATCTCTCCCCTTCACGCGCTGTAGGACGCTTCGCATGTGGCATGAAGCCTGGAGTGTCCCTCTGACGGGGTGCAGAGTCGTACAACAAAAGAAGAGAGTATTTTCGAAGGAAACGGTTTCCCCTCTGAAGAAATATCAGTGACAATCAAATGGATTCTGGCGAATTCGTGCCGATTTCGAAAATCGTAGGCCTAAAACGAGGTACGGGGTTGTGTGACGTAGGGAGGCTAGCCCGGTCAATGCGTGAACATCACCGTGCGTGCCTTTCTTCTATTGTATTCGCATGGGCGGGCTCGTTTGATTGGAAACGGGACTCCGTGTCGTGCTCATCGCTGACAACTTTTGTGAGATCGACCGACGTCACTCTTGGTCTTTCTGACAAGCGAGTCAGGCACAATCCCAGCCCTTAGTGGAAGACCTTCGATTAAAACCACGCGATGTCCTCAAGGAATAAGAAACGAAAAATAAACTCACACTCGTCCCTCCTAGGTAAAACAGTAAATAATACCTACCGTTGCTCTAGATGGACAGACGGATTTCGTAAGTAAGAAATAGAGGAAAAAAAAAAACTAACGTACCCTACCACTATACACGAGCTATTTTAAGTAAGGCTTAGAATTTAAATGATACTGTGTAAATTATAAGCGAGCCAGCGAGGGCATAACTACTGTGATTTTAATTATTTAACGATATATGTCTGCGTAAAGACGATGAAAACAAAAAGTAAAAACAGATAAATGGTGACCGATTACGGTCCGCGCGGTATGTGATGTGTTTTTTGTATAATACTGCTCTATATAAATACCTATGTATTATATTACTGTAACAATAGTTGCTGCTGCCGCTGTTGCTGCTGCCGCTCGTGTCGAACTAGAAAGTAATGTTACGATCTAGACCTCTAGTGAAAAAAAAAAAATGAGCGAAAGGATTACCTAAATAGCGTTTATCCCTAATGTAATATAATTTTCCATAGCAGGATGTAACATATTATTATCATTATTATCATCTTAGCACTATGTACATTATAAACAAATTTTTAATATTCTTATTTTGATTCTTTATTATTACTACTATTATTATTATTATTATTATTATTATTATTATTATTATTATTATTATTATTATTATCACCATCATCTTCTTCATCATCATTATCATTATTATTATTTCTACGGTCATCATCGTCATTAGTACTGCTACCATTATTATTATTATTATTATTATTATTATTATTATCATCGTCATTATTATTATTATTATTTTTATGACTATTATTATTATTAAATATTACTACCACTACTGCTACTACTACTATACTACTATACTATTATCATCACTACTACTACTATTATTATTACCACTACTCTACTACTACTATTATCGCTGCTATCAATTATTATTAACTTTATTACACCAGGCTAGTTAGAACGTACCAACCCGCACATTTGAAAGAAGGGGCTTTAAAGTATGTCGTACTGAAACTCAGATACGGTACGACCGATCTCATTGACCATTGACGTCGCCCCGTTCTACACACTTCCATCCCCCATTTCTCTTACCCCCTTGTCGCCTTCCGCGCGATGTGTCGTAGACTCTTTAGCAATCGTGTCGAAGATAATAATGCGCTTACGTGTATAGACCAGAAATTACACTATATCACACGGAGCCGTGAGAAAAACATATTAAGTAATATAAAGAAACTTACCTATTTACGATATTATTGCTGCTGCGTGTAGGGCGCATGCCTCTAGAGAATAACCTTATGTAAAAGTATTAGGGATGGTCAAAACATGTTTTTATTCTTTCATACCGTGTTCAATCGATTATAGAAAAAAAAAAACACAAATCGTTCTTTTTCAAGTCGATTAAAAAGGCACTTTCGTTGCCTATCGTTGTTATCATTGTTATATTTTCTTCCTTACATTAGATAAACGTAATCCGCCGTGATTAATGTTTTCTTTTTTCATTTCCATTACATTAATATTACACTCGAGACGAGTATAAATACACGGATACGTTTCGTGTAACGAATGAAATGTTTGTAACGTATTACATGAATATATCCGACGCGATCACGCTTAATTTCTTCGATATTTTTTTTTTCTCTTCTATTCGACACTTTATTTTCTTGACGTGCGAGCAATGCAAAGCGTGTACGCATTGCCCCGAAGCCGATGGTTCTGTTCTGACGACCCCTAAGAAAACACGATTAATTTAAGGCAGCGCTGATACTCGTGGAGAGCGTGTGCATGTACAGTGTAAAAGATGCGTTGTGCATATGTACAGTATAGAAGTATAAGTGAGCGAGCGAGATGATAAGTATAATGAAAAACATATATATTAAAGCTACGGATAAGTATAATAGGATGCGAATAAGACGCTCACGTCGCGGTATTTTCGTTTGTTTTCCGAAATCTATTGTTGAGATCCTGTTTATTCTCTGTCACTTCATTTATTCTGTCTTTCACCTCTCTTTTTCTTCTGCTCTTCCTTTTTTCGTGGTGGTCATTTTATGTATATATAATATGTATGTGTATAAATATATGTATATATATACATACATATTACATAGAATTCAAATTTCCGCGGCATGTGTGTCTGCCTCGTGTCTTATCTATCTTGTAAAATATCTGTGAATATTATGATTTAGTTTCTTCTTATTATAGGCTACTGGTATACAAAAAACGTTTATGTTACTACTTACTTAAGGAAAGAAATGTACAGATATCACCATTTTTTGTTTTGTGTTTTACTGTAGTTATTGATAATTATATGGATATTAACGATAATAATAACTATGATTAAAAAACTTCAGCACGGCTCGACGCGTCATTTTTGAAACCCGTTAAAAAAAAAAAAGGAAACCGTGATATTTCATTTATATGTGTGGTTCTGGGAATGATTTATTATCTGCTGTACGAAGTTATCACGCGATCAATTCACGACCCATCGATTAGAAAATGAAAAAAGCACGTTATAGGGCGTTTACATTATACATTCGTCATTTAGAAGTTTAGAAGCTGGACTTCGCATCGTTCAAGAGGTAAAATAATACAAATACGTGAAATAATATAACACATATTTATTTGCATCTTTTGCGACACGTTTATTATACTCTTTGCTTGTTTGTACTGGCTTTACACACCGATCACTTATCGAATGAAAATTGCAAGTATTTGTTACGAAAATGAATATGATTTATCTTTTTCCTTAATAAAAGATTCATAAACTTGATACATTTAATGCATACTTTATGAGGGCCAATAAAATTAAGTCTATCACCAACTATTTGGAAAATATTTATACGAAAAAGAGTGAGTACACCACGAGAGATACGCATAGTATTTGTATGAATAAAAATCGAAAGTTTCATAGTAATTACGCCCTCTCTTCGTAACGTCCGCAGTATTAAGATGCATTCCTGTCTTATATTGATATTTTGTAATTGGTTATAAAAGCTTCTAATATTATTCATAAATAAAACATAAATTTAAAATCGATAAAACAACTGTTTTAAAGCGTCGTATAAGAAGCCCTGCGAATTTTTTTAATAACAAAATCTTGAAATTAACAAATCATTACATGGACAAGTTACAAGAACAGGATAAGATATAACGTAGCCATAATATCATGGGCGAGGTCCAAAACAACTGTTACAACCAAAATGTCATCGTACCACGTGAATATTACTATACAAAACAGACAAATATGTAATAAATCGTATACCATAGAATGGATCATATCGGCGCCACATTACAGTGGCGCCATCGGTGAGAAACCGCTCAAGTTTGTAGTACAAATAGTTCCTACTGTCGTCACTAGATGGTGATACAACTGCAAAAGTAGTACCATCTTACAGCAACAGGAGGAACTATTTTCATTGCAAACTTGGGTCTTTTGCCACCGATGACGCCACTGTAATTTTCCAGTCTTCAAATGCGCAGGATTGTTGATCATCTCCTAACACCTCCTAACACATTCTATCATCCCCTAACACCACCCCCATGACTCCGAATGCGTACTAACATCTCATAAAATCTCCTAAAACTGCCTAACAAGTTCTAACACCACATAGTACTAAGACCTCCTAACACCACCTGACACTTCCCTTTAATATCCATTCATTTCCTGGCACATTTCCCTTTAATTTCTATTCCTTATCTGCCACATTTCCATCTATATTCCCTTCATTTTCTGGCAAATATCCCGTCATATTCTCGCATATCATGCTCACCTGATACGAAAATGTAAAGTCCGGACAGAATTTGACAAGTACTAGATTTCCTTCGTGCCACCTCCTTCCGAATCATGTTTTCCTCATATTATTATGTAAAATACACCGAGAAATAGATACGTACTAGATATTCCTCGTGCCACCTCTTTGAGTATCATGTTCTCCCGATACGAAAGGTAAGATTCGACCCAGAATTAAATAAGCCTAAAATTTCCTTCGTGCCACCTTCTCGCATATCATGTTCTCCTGATACGAAAGGTAAGTTTCGAGTAAGAATTAGATACGTGCCAAATTTCCTTCGTGCCACCTCCTTCCGTATCATGTGCTCTTGATACAAATATGTAAAATCGGCCAGAATTCCGAAATGTACGGAAAATTAGCCCCTTGAATTAGGCAACCTATGCTTACAGATAAGTCGGGTCGGTTGCCTGCTCCCAGGCGCAAACGTGACACCTCTTCGCATATCATGTGCTCCTAATACCAGAAGTAAAAATCCGACACTTCCCATCACAATTTTGGGAGGAGCGATTTGCAACATTGTTGATGTTTGGAGAGGAGCGATTTGCAACATTGTTCAGTTTGCAACATTGTTGAAGTTCAAAGAGGAGCTATTTGCAACATTGTTGTGCTTTGCAACATTGTTGGAGTTTCGAAAAGAGCGATTTGCAACATTGTTGGCTTTGCGAAATTGGCCAGAATCTCGAAATGTACCGAAAATTAGCCCCTTGAATTAGGCAACCTGTACTAACAGATCTGTCGGAGCGGTTGCTTGCTCCCAGGCGCAAACGTGCCACCTCCTCCCATATCATGTGCTCCTGATACCAAAATGCAAAATCGGCCAGAATCTCGCAATGTACCGAAAATTAGCCCCTTGAATTAGGCAACCTGTACTGACAGATCTGTCGGACCGGTTGCTTGCTCCCAGGCGCAAAGGTGCCACCTCCTCGGATATCATGTGCTCCTGATACCAAAATGCAGAATCGGCCAGAATCTCGCAATGTACCGAAAATTAGCCCCTTGAATTAGGCAACCTGTACTGACAGATCTGTCGGACCGGTTGCTTGCTCCCAGGCGCAAACGTGTCACCTCCTCGGATATCATGTGCTCCTGATACCAGGATTAAAATTCGGGCCAGAATTTCATATGTACCAAAAATTCATTATGCCACCTCCTTGCATATTATGTTCTCCTGATGGCAAAATGTAGAGTAATTCCATTATTTAGTTATATGTATATAACACATTTATGCTATAACATCAATTGAATCCTACGCCATGTAATTCACTTGCAGGAAAATAGGAATTGATTTATGGGTTTAATAGGGAGGATTGTAAATGAGAATTTATCTGAATATTTGGGAGATTATTTATAAGAAAGTTTATTATTCGATATACCTTACTATAATACATATATATGTTACACCATGGGACATATACATATCGTAAGATATATCCTTTATGTTTCCAGTGGTGTTATTGCTTCCAGAAAGCTGAAAGAATTAATAATCAAGTCTAGTGATACTAAAAAGACTACAAAGTTATAATATTGATTGTAATGCTACTCCTGTTCGCAGAGTGCAAAGGGTTAATAGCAATAAAAGTCCCACTCAGAGAGAAGCTCTGGTTCTGGATTAGATTACCTTCCCCGCAATTCACATGTTCATTTATTTACATAGGTAATGAGACAAGAAGTAAAACAATTTCTCAGCCACTATTCACATAGGTTAGGTTAGAATACATATTACGTTACATTACATTCTTCGACCATACATACAATCTCAAGGATATTAACCCTACGTTCTATTTTTTTGTACAGGCTACAATGTAATTGCATATAATATACAGTAATAAGTGGTGATTGATAATATTCGATAAGGTTACGTCGAAGAAATAACCTGATCTAACCGTGCTTGCTCTCGCATGCGCCTGCGCACTGAATTTCTTTATTCTCTGTGGTATTTTGACGTTTCAATTGAATATCTAAATAAGAAAAACAAAAGAAAAAAAATGGTTAAACAACTTATTTTTCGTTTTCTTTTTCCTTTTAATCGAAATACCCCTAATTTCCGACTATGGGAATATAATTGTAAATGAAATGACATCTTACTGCGATTCATCGACAATTTTGGAACACTCCAGAAATTTCTATACCGTGCTGTTACCGAACGGATTGTAAAGTGCTGGCAGTCGATGTCGACACTTGATGTGTAAATGATCATCGAATGGAGTGAGAAGCAGTGAAAGCAGTGAAGCGTTGAAAGTGATACAAAAATTGGTAATCTGTCGAAAAAGTTAACGTTTGTTAAATCTTTTCCTGGTACCTATATTTAAAAAAAAGTATGTCAACAAAAATCGACGAGGTATGTATGCATTTTATTATTTGTTCGATTCCGATTCTCTTTTTCTTTCTTTCTTTTTACTTTTTATTCGTTACATGTTTTCTTTAAATAATATAAAATATCACATTAATAATACAATTACGTGCATCGGTAAATTATATCGAGAAACTTTCTTGCAACGCGTAACTTATATCGCTTTCTCTTACAGTTAAAATTGGACATAGAAGAAATCAAAAACTTCATTCAGCAAGCTTCTCGACCAAGGACAAAGGATATACTCGGTCTCGAAGTTAGAAGATTGCAAACAGAATTATCGAAATTAATCCAAAAGACGAATTCGACGTCTACCACGTCGACTGATGTAACGTCTCAATCTGCACCAAAATGTTACCAAGTCAAACTGAATAATTATGGTTGGGATCAAACAAATGCAGCTGTGAAGCTTTACGTTACGTTAAACGATGTCCATCTCTTGCCTAAAGAGGCGGTGACATGTAATTTTTCGGACAAATCGGTAGATCTAAGGGTCTTTGGATTGGATAATAAAAATTATAATTTAACTATTAATAATTTATGCGAAGAAATCGACGTAAATAAGAGTAGCGTCAAAGTAAAAACAGACATGGTCCTTGTGTCGCTCGTCAAGAAAATTCCAAAAATGTGGTCGCACATGACGGAAGTAGAAAAACGAAACAAAGAATCCAAAGCATCTTCCATTATGGATGCGACGGGAAGCGAAACCGATCCTAGCGCCGGTATAATGAATTTAATGAAAAAGCTGTATCAAGAAGGAGACGACAAACTAAAGGCGGCTATAGCTGAAGCATGGACGGAGAGTCAAGAGAAGATGGCATCCTCATTTTAAAACTATTCTTAATTTTATGTTCTTTTACCTGTGCCCATTAAGTTCGTTATTTTTTAGACTCTTATAGACGAGTACATTGTACAAAGTAAACTTAGTTCATATTTTATATGAAATAAATCTATGTTTAAACATTTTTTAACTTATATATTATAATATTTACAACATTCTCCTCTTTTCCTTTTTTTTTCTGCTTGTATATACAACAAAGAATGCAATAGAGAGGAATCCTCAAAGGTGATTATCGATCGCACATCTTTCTAGCTCTGTTACTTAGGTTCTCAAATGCATGTATGCTTTTGGTATAGTAAATGTAATCTGTGCATTAGTCGGTTAAAATTTATTTGTACCGTATAATTGACATGTTTACTTAAATAGGAGTAAATATAACATATACGATGCAATGATAATTTCGTTAGTTCTAAAACAATTCGATCCAATTAATGTATCCTATTCGTGTATATTTTAAATGTACCTGCATTAATATATAATTCAATGTTCAACTTTCCACAAGCCTAAGTCAAAAGATTTTAATTTATTTACAAATCTGATACATATTTAAATTTTACAAAAATTTCTGGAACTGTGCGCTTCCTTTTTGCGAGAATAATGTTACGACAAACTATTATAGCTACCGTACCATAATAGTTGATTTATATATATATATATATATATCCATGCGATTGTATTTGGACCATCGGTATAGCAGAACGATAATTTCGAATAATACAAGACGATTCGTAAATGTATGTCTTCTCATACCTTCAGAGCATAAATCTACACGCTAAATGAAAAGAGTTATATTACTGCATGCTACAAAGTTGGATTTTCTCTCGTGGATTCTGTACGTTTGGCAATTGTTGAATACGCGATCCCAATCCAAATTGACATGCGTTCATAAATCACGCCATGTGTATGTATACATTCCCTGGCACATAAACATTATGATATAAAAATTTAATTGTACAATGCTCGATGTCTTGATATAATAGCTTTGTCGGTGTTTCTATGTAGGTATTTATACTCTTGATAATGAGACTGGCAACTTAATTTCTTCTAATTATCGATAATATTGATAAATCTTAATATAACGGTAAATCTAAGAAGAAAGTGTGCAACCGATAGTACAAGTTCTAATGAGAATTTTATCACAGTGTATAAATTTCATTAATGAATTTCGTAATTATTATTCACTTTTATAGATTTACACTTTTTAAAGTATGAAATAATATAAAAAAACAAGCAAGTTTAACAAAAAAAATAACCAATTAAGAATAAACTGTTAATTTTAAGGGTGCGCAGGAGTCAAAGCAAAACTTCGAGTTGACTTCAGCGAGAGTTGCGGAAAAAGTAGGAAAAGTTCCGGGACAAGGATAGATAGATCCTTGTCACTCCAATGATGCTGTGACAGAGAGGGAGACACAACAATCGAAGGAGAGACAAAGACAGAATGATGTCAAACATTTGTAATTTTTCAAATCAGTTATTATCATTTTATGAGTTAAGGAAGCAACCTTTGCGGCTGATTTTTTTTAAAAATCAGAAAAAGATGAGACGAAACGGTAGGATCTATCCTACTTTTTTCGCAACTGTTGCTAAAGTCAACTTGGAGTTTTGCTCTGACTCCTGCGCACCCTTAAGGACCAGCGTGTATAAAATAGTGTATAAAATAGTGTATAAAATCTAAATAAAACATGTTCCATATAATTTACTGAAACGATTATTTATAGGAAGAAAAAGAATCGATTGTATGATTTATTAAAAATTGAGATATACGCACGAATTTTCTGACCTTTGAATAATTTAGCTGAAACGTTTAAGACGTTTACAGCAGATTCTTTCTCTTCCTCCTTTTCTTACACCTAACTTTCACCGTACGTGTATATAAACATTAAAACATATAAAACATGTATGAGATACATTTACTTTAACGATATACATACATACATGTATATATATACAATATAAAGATAAAATTAAAATATTCGTTCGTTCCGAAACGAAATATCTGTCCGTGTTAAAGCTGCTCCATAATATATTAATACTTTATTTTTATACGAAAAAAAACTTATCACTTTACATGCATTCATCGATTATATCAAAGTTCGTTAAGCGAGGTTGAAAAGTTTGTTTAAAGTAATAAAAAGTGAGTAAGATAGAGTTGCTGTAAAATGAAATATGTAAAGCAAAATATAAATATTACCAAGATTCAGAAAGTTGTCGATTCAGGTTTGAATACTTAAATGTGATAAATTGCTAGCAAGAGAGAATAAGTTTGTTATACATACAAGATTTATTCTAATACTCGCTTGCACGTATTTTACAGGTGCTAGGAATACTTTGTAGAATATTAAAATTATAATTATTAAATAAGCGCATCATAAAATATAGAAAAATAGTCTTTGGTTTTCAAACTGAGACTTAGTTACCCCGCTGAGCGTCCAACGATGAAATAGCGAATCGAATTCGCATGGAATGACCGGTTTACTCTAGGAAGCAGTACAAGTACTTGAAAGTTGTACTTCGCGACTAGTTGCTTGAAAAACTTCCGTCATAACGTTCTGTGTCTTTTGCATCAAGTGACTGACATCGTCTGTTTTTAAGCCTTCCGTAGATATCGGTGGTAACGCTGTTATCATCACTTGACCTTTGAACGAAACGTGAGTATGTATATATTGAAACTCCCTTCTTGAAATGTCTTTGTATAAATGAATCTAATATATATCCAGAAGACTCACCTGAATCGAACCTCTTTTCTTTAAAAGATAAAAAGTAGTAGGAAGAAAATACGACTGGTAATATAGGTAATTGGGAACTAATGGCAACGTGAAAGGCACCCTTTTTAAAAGGATGAATCTGACCAGTATTGCGTCTGGTGCCTTCGGGAAATATCCATAGTTTAATCTATACAGAAAATGCAAGAATGAGCATACCCCGCCAAGAAATTCTTCTATACTGTTACCGATTGATACGTAAAGTTGAAAAGAAAGATTTACCTTTTTATCTTTGATGTGGTTAGTGGCGGTATTGATACAATTACGGGCCTTCTCTGAATTCATTCTATCTATAAATATCAATCCGCAAAGCCAAGCAGCCAGCCCGAAAGGCCACGCATAAAAAAGCTCTTTCTTTCCCACCACCGTGCATTTATCCATTACTGGCCATATTTGAAACATTCCCATTACGTCTAAAGAACTCTGGTGATTCGCTACTATTATGCATGCTCTATCTTGTTCTAAATGTTCTCTCCCCCTGAGTTCCCAACGTACTCCCAATAAGTTAGTAAAACAGGAGCACATAGACGACGCTAATCTAAAAGTATATTTAGTACAATGCTTTTAATAATCTAGACACAGCTGGTACGAAAGACAAAGTCCATAGTATTATCGGCAAAGTTATTGATAAATGGTGTGATCGGTGTTTATGAATGTTTATGATATATTACATTTTTACCTAAAGTTAAATGTCATGCAAAAGCGGCTGATACATTGTCGAGCTAAGAGAATTTTCGAGGCAAACGTTACATCGTCCTTTGTCAATTTCACACACAAAAATAAAAAGTTGAACGTAATATTTATTAGGATAATTATCAATTGTAAAAATAAGTAACTTGTGATGATACTTGTACTCAACGTTTAGAACGAAATATCGAAACATCACGCGAAAGAATATCGTCGATACAAGGAATATGCTTTTAAATTTCTTCTATCCGTAAAGTAGTTGACGGTCTCGTAAACTCTGAGGATAAAAGACCAAAATTTACCTTCGTTTTACGTGAATTTTATTTGAAATATTACTGTGTCGCGTTGGTGTGAAAAGCGAATATTTGATAATTGAGAATTAAACGAAAATTTTTGTATGAAATACATCGTTTATAAAAGCAAAACAAACGGAATTTTATAATTTACACAAATTCCAACGTCACGCGTTTGACATTTGTAGGGCGAATTGCGAATAGCGGATGTTATTTGAATAGCTACCGCACTACCACTATCGCCACCATTACCGCCACCACACCATCGCGACCATACCACCACGAATCACCATACCATCGCCACTGTATCGAAACTGCTGCTGGAACCCTACACCACCATCGTTCAATAAATTTGCCTGACAACGCATCGTCGCTTTAGACGAACTAATAAATAATAAGACATAGTTGGTAGACGAAAAAAGAAAAAGAAAAAAGAAAACGAAATAAATGATGAACCTTGAGAGTAACGAAATTTATTATGATTACTAACACAAAGTTTTTTACGTTCCACGGTCGTAGCAGCATAATCGGAAGCAATGTGATCGAATTAACCATTACGCATCCATAGTAAATGAGGAACTTGAAATAGTAACGAAAGGTTCTGCTCGTCTCGTACAAGAACGGTAACATGAGGATAAAACCGACGAGGATCACCTCGAAACACGACGGTGCCATCTTTTATGGCGATAGAGGGCGGATGACAGATACCGTAAGCAAATTTATCGATACCGCACCACACAACTGACAAAAGTAGTTTCACGGTTATCAAAATGATCTTGTATGATATCCTACGGCTTCGAACACGATGCAACGTATCGAATAGTATCGAGGAAGAACACCGATTGTCATCCATCCACTGCTGGATTGCCGTCTTATAATGTTGTCGGTTCGCTCTATTTCAGCAAAGCTACTCTGCACCACCCACCCCCCACACGCACACGCATACACACCCTAATGCACTGCATATCGTTCCTACGGCCCTATTTGTTCTCATCTCTGATGATGTACATATATATATACATATATAAGAATGAAAGCCCTGACTCACTGAGTTATCAACACGCCCAGGCTCTTGAACCGAGATAGCTAAAATTATACACAGAGGGTTCCTTTGGCAAGGAATAAGAAAGGATATTTCAAAATACAACCCCTAGGGGGGGTGGGGTAAAAAGGGATTACAACGTTTGTACGAGGAATATTTTATTTGTGGTCGGATTTACTCGAAACTGGGTCTTAACGCTCTTCGATATAATTAATCGAACACCTATTCCGGCTTTATAAAAAATTCAACCCCTGAGGAGGTGAAAAGGGGTTGCAATGTTCGTATGGGACATATTTTGTTCATGGCCGGATTTACTTCATACTTGGTCTTGATATGCTCATTGATACGATTATTTTGCTTCAAAGTTGCCTTATTTCCGTAAATCAATTTAGAAACTTTAAATTTAACGTGTAATATAAAATAAGAATAGTATTACTTCAGTATACGTGTATACGTGTATACAGGGTGTCCCAAAAATGTTGTAACGCCTTGAAATGGGTGGTTCGGGAGGTGATTTGAAACAACTTTTTTCTTAGCGAAAATGTTGTCCGAGGCTTCGTTGAGGAGATATTAACGGAAAACACTGACCAATCAGAGCGCGTGTATACCGTTGGAGCGGCCGTGGTAGCGAAGGCTACGTGCAAAGCGGCTCCGTCAATGTCCTAAGATGTACGTCGAGTCGCTTGTTCGCGTACAAGCGCGGTCGCTTAGCACATAGCCTTCGCTACCGCTGCCGCTCCAACGGTATACGCGCGCTCTGATTGGTCAGTGTTTTCCGTTAATATCTCCTCAACGAAGCCTCGGACAAAATTTTCGCTAAGGAAAAAGTTGTTTCAAATCGCCTCCCGAACCACTCATTTCAAGGTGTTACAAAATTTTTGGGACACCTTGTACGTATGTATAATGTTTTGATTTACGAGACATTATTTTTCGTATACCCACCTAAATATACGTATATACATATTTACAGATATACAGTGGGTGTAGAATGTATTCGTACACCAATCAATTTCCCAAAAAACTTTTGTGTGAAATTGTAGTTTCTCGACTTCTTTTTTTATAATCAATGACATTTTACATATTCTCGGAAGCCTCTAAGATAGATATAGTCCGCACAACATTTATTAGTTAATATGACTTGTGAAATTAACATAAAATGCGAAAAGTAAGTAAAAGTATAGAAGCAATAAGTATTTGTACGATTCTTATGACGAACCATTTACAGTAGAGTTTTTAACGTAAACGCATTAGTCTATTGCTCCGTACGATATAGAAAACATCAAATTTCCAGGAAAGTACTTTTAAAAATGGCTCTAATAGAGGAATAATATCCCACTTCGAATAACTAATAATTTATAAATTAACTATAGTTAATTTAACGCTTAGAAGAGTTACAATAATTATAAAATCAAAAGAAAATCCCACGAAGGAAGTATATACTATTCTATACTTGTAAATTAATGTAAATTTCTTTTTTTTTAATGAAGTTTTAAAAATTAAGCAGTTGTGCGAATACTTATTGCTTCAACATTTCTATCGATTAATTGCTTTTTTCTTGTTAATTTCGCAACTTACATAAATATCTATTTTTTTGTACTCTATCTATTCTAGAGATTTCCAAAAATATATAAAATATCATTGTTTATAAAAAATAAGTTAATAAATTACAATTTTACATAGTTTTCTTGGAAATTGATCGATGTACGAATACTTTCTACACCCACTGTAAATAATTAACACGAGTTCGTATAATTTAAAATTTCAATCATAGTATCGCTCGTTACGAGTGAGTTCGATAGTTTGCGCGGGAAGTACTCGAGGATATCGAGTTTCAAATTTCGCAGAATGGAACGTCGCATGCTCAGTCTGGTCGTGATCTACGCTTAGGTTAGCTTATAAAAGACAAGTGGTGTGCAGGCAGGCAGGAATCCACGATTCTACCGCATGGGAAGTGGTAATTGCATATACTTTATACGGTGTAATCTCAGCGTAAACTTTGATACCATTTAATATACTATCGAATGAACAGGTATGTGTATATCGATTGATAATATTCGACTATTCGAATAACATTTTTATGCGGCCCTTACATCCTTATTTTCAGAATTTTACGCTTTCAAACAACGTGTTGCTACTAATTATATTTGTGTGCACGCCAAGAGAGTGATCGAGAATTATTAAACATGCAAGTCAACAACTCGCAGATACGTGATAATACCGAAAAAACGATATTAGCGCTATTGCTTTCGCGTAAAGGTGGATGTTCGTTATCCCAATTACTTGGAGATTATTACGAAACGGAAGGTGAACAATTACCATGGAAATCTTTGGGATACCTCAGTCCGTTGAGCTTTTTGCAAAGTATGTACAAATCTGTTCGAGTCGAATATAGGAACGATACACCTTTCATAAAAGGTATAGCATCCGACAAGTCCAAACACATTAGTAAGTTGGTAGCTGGACAAAAAAATATCCAAAAATATCCGGTTGGGAGAAAATCTTATAGACCCAGTCATTATTATCCGAATACCGGTCCTCTAAAAGTTCGTGTGTCTGCCGAGATATTGGCCAAAGTAATTGGTCGTATCAACCAAAATCCAGATGGCATAGATAAAGATTGCTTGCTTCGGTACGTACAATCAGAAATGCCTCATGTAAACATCGTAATGAGCGATTTGGAAGAACAATTACGAGAATTGTCGCATAAGATTTATCAAACACGTAACAAGGTCTTTCCAAATCGAAGAGAGTCGACAAATTTGGATTCTGCTGATCGGGTCTTGGTAACCGCAGGTGGAAACGAAGATTACGATGAAGAAAATGATTTTGACTTTATACCCTCTGGTTATATCCCACCTTGTACATCGGCAAAGACTAAGGCTACGTCTAGTTTCATAAAGGACAGTGTGTCCAAGTGTCAGGATCGATTCGTCGAGTGTGAAACTGTGGAATACACGTCGAGGGTACAAGTAGACCAAAATAGTTTATATAATTTCCATAATTATAATTATGATACTCAGGTTGAAACTCAAAGGCAAACCAATGGTGATGTAGACAAAAAATCAACTTCTTCAGATGATGAAAATGTTGAAATACTAGTAAGCAAAAGAGTTCGATTTCGTTTAGAAAAACTTATCGAGAATAGCCCTGATGGTATTTGGTGTGCCGATCTTCCGCAAAAATATTTACAAGAATACCGAATCTCGTTAAATTACACGGAACTTGGTTTCAACAGTGTTAGGGAATTCGCATCGCACTTACCCGATATCTTTCATTGTGTACAACCGTACGATACAGGGGATTTCATGCTGTATTATGCGAAAAGGGAAATACCTACCGATAAACAAAAAGGAAAACAAAAGATTGTTAATCTTGCGGAATTACATAATATTTATAATACGGATGACCAAGTTGAAGCACTTCCGACATCATTGGTAAATCTGATATCCTTGCCTTAACTAAACTCGACACATTTTATTCGTTTAATTCGTTACGCAATTTTAACGTTTACGTGTTTTTAGTCGGTCGATACGTGTAAGAAATTAATACCGGATGATATAGTAACAATCGGAGAAAGCGTAGGACAGTTGGATGTCACAGAGTTTGCAAATGCGGATAAGCCTTATATAGAAGTTATCGTTGTGGAAGTATTCACTCCGTCTTTCTTTTGGATACAGCTTCGTAAAAAGCAGCAAATGTTTAAATCATTTATGGACGAGTTACAGTGCGTACTATGATTCGAGTATACCTTTCCGATAATCCTAATGTAATCGAATGATAAACATATCGGTTGTTATTTTTTTGACAGCAACTTTTACGTGCTAAAACACCACGACTACATAATGCCACCGGTTGTATTAGAAAAAGGCTTAAATTGTGCGTGTATGTACAATAACATATGGCACAGGGGTATAATAAAGACGGTTAGACCTGACTTACAAGTTACTGTAGGTACACGACTATCGTACGTACTATGTTAATATTTACAATAATTGCTCTTACCGATAACATTTTCATCGCAGGTGATGTTTTATGATTACGGTACATTAAAAACATATCCTCCGGAAGCGATACACTACTTGCATCGAATGTTTTCTGCTATACCGGCGCAAGCCATACCGTGCGGATTAATTAATACAAGACCGTACAAAGGATCCAAATGGTCTTCCAATGCTACTCACAATTTTGCGGTCAGGACATCACAGATACCTCTGATTGCGACCATAGCATCGATTAATACAGAGGTAACGATACCACCCCGTATGTTTTTAATATGTATCTCAAGTAATTGGGGAAAAAAATTATCGTGTCGTTTAATTGCTGTCTGTTCGATACAGGACAATTCGATGCTGGTAACATTGACGGACACCTTAGAAGAAGAAGATGTTCACATTAACGACTGGTTAGTCGAGAAAAAACTAGCACAACATGGAAAAATGGTTTGTATGAAAACTCGAAATTTTCCATTTCGTTATTATTTGGAATGTCAAGAACGTGCTAAACAAAAATCGAATACAAGGAAAATTTCCAAAACTGTCGAGACGATAAAGTGTGCTAGATCGAGAGTTTCCAACAACTATTTCGAGAATAAAGTAGCATTGTACGACACGAGTGTTGATTTGGAATTGTCATCCGAGAATAATTCGATACCGTATCAAAAAAAATCTTTTCAACTCGAACAAAATTCTTCTTCTATCGAACAATCTAGCAATTCCACGCTCGATTCTAAACAAAACTCGCCAAGAAATTTAAAGAGATTGTACGAAACGTTATTAAAACTTCGACAAAGTTCTCGTTTTAATTCCAACGACAAAATTAATAATAATGCGGAAGAAACTGAATCGACAAATTCGAGTTTAGTATCGAATAAAAAGTATAAGCCAATCCCATTTAGGGAATCTCTGAATGTTGCCGTTACTTCTCTTGCATCGTTGAATGACAATGGTATTAGCAAAGTATCGAGTGAGACCGAATATGAAACATCAGGAATTTCAGAGAAAAAACGATCAGACGTACCATTAGCCGAAACGTGTTTTTTAAATATAGTTCGTAATAGCGTTCACTTTGCTGTAGACGATAAAGATATACGTTGGTCGTCGACTGGAAATGTTAGTGAAACGCAAGATTCGTCTTCGTTGATAGTGAGAAACGTACAAAGACGTATGGCTAGTAGAACGAAACAAAAGGTAATTGCCATTCCTCGAAAAGTATTGGAGATAATGACGGAAAAGAAATCGTCCATCGAGTGTACGAAATCATCGACGAGTATATCTAGAGTTACGAGCGGATCATCGCCATCCAGCTGTTTGTCGCAAGGAAGAAAAGACGATCGAACCGTCGATGATTCGAATCGTTCGATTGACGGTAGTGATATATTTCGTGTCGAAAACCCTCCAAGTAAAACTACCGATGATGATACATTTAATTTGCTTAATTGTTATCTGTGTACAAGCACGAGTACTTGGAAAAAGAAAGTGTTACAAATGTTATCTACACGAGACACATCTAGCGATTCTTCAGATTTAGATTCGGACGATCTCGACGAGGAATCACAAATGGAAAAAAGTGATGGAAATATTAATCAAAGTATATCGAATGGATTTCATTTAGAAATTAACGCTAATCGCTGTTCGCATTCTATCGAGACAGATGATACAGAGTTGAACGGAGTTGATGGAGACGGAAACGAATCGTACGAAAAACTAGTATCGACGTCGACGGAAACATCGGTAAAAACGAACCGATTAAAAAGAGAACCAGCTACGATTACCGAAGAACAACCTTCGCTAAACGAATCGATCGATGAATCTAAAGAAATGGAAGATGAAGCATTATCGATCGATGAATCTAAAGAAACGGAAGATGAAGCATTATCGATTGATGAATCTAAAGAAACGGAAGATGAATCCAAAGAAACGGAAGATGAATCCAAAGAAACGGAAGATGAATCCAAAGAAACGGAAGATAAAGCATTATCGATCGATGAAGCGACTTGCGGGGAATTAGTACCAATGCATGAATTCTCATCGCCTGACACGGAAAGTGAAACATCAAGCACACCGATTTTTAACGATACTTGCTTAGAATCTAACGAAGAAGAATGGGATGTAGTCGTGTCATTTACTGGTATGCATCAATTCCTAAAAACAAATTGTCCTTTTTATAACAACATCAAGAGTCTGCTGGACAATAAGTCTAACGAATCTCTAAAAATAACAGAAGTAAACGATTCGAATTCAAGCGAGGATACGAATAAAGATGTATATTCAACGGATAGAATGATAGATGATACGGAATATTCGTATGCGAAATCGGAAAAGTTAATCGCAGCTCGATGCGAGGAATCCGCTCAAACTCAGCTGACCGTGGCACAGGACGAAAGTAATGTAGTGCAAAATAACGAAACCAGTTCTAATTCGACAAATTCAACTTTAATTCCTTGGAAATCACAAGGAAAAGGAAAAACGTTATTTGAAATGCTAAATAAAATGAAATTGTTGCAAAACAAGAGTTGAAGGATAAACGGAAAAGTATTTAATTTCAAGATAATGCACGATGTAATATGTCGTAAATTTGAAAATTTTAATTAAACTTGAGTAATTATGTACGTACGTGTTTGTTATACCGATATCTTGGGAACAATAATAGAAAATATACAATGACATTATGCATTTTGATTATTTGTAACTGTTTCGTCAAGAAGTAAAACTTGATGTAATAGTTCGAAACATTTTTCTTCTTTTTTTATCCACGTGTATCAGTACATGGAAATTTTTTTGTTTTGCGTACCGTATTTGCGTATTAAAATGCGCTATCTTAGGTGTTATACAGTGCTACTTTATACAGTTATTATTTTTATTTGTTTCAATTACTTCAAACTAAAAATTAAACAACGAAACAAATTATTTCTTAAGCTTTTGGGAAAAATACGATCTTTATGGTCGTTTATCATGCTTCTTACATGTACTATGATTTTTATTCGTGCAATAAAATTGTTGTAACAAGGAAATAAACTGTGTACATTTTACTCTACACCGATATCTTTATAATCTGTACAACAACGATCTCATAAAGTGATCATTTTTCCCAAACTGATGCATTTCAAATTCGACACGCATTTAACCGCATTGTGTGTATGTTACCAGATATACGTACTTAATTAAATATCACTTTATTTGATCTTGATCTTTTTTTGTTTTGTTTCTGCTCTTTCGATAGGGAGATAAAGTTGATATGGACAATTTGTTGCTGTATGTGGAAGAAAATTTACTATTTTCACCGAAACGGTGCTACGAAGAAGAGATATCCGATGTACGTAATGACCCAAAAAGTCCAGGAGAAAAGTCAACGAATATGCCTCTGGTATCACCGCAAAGTACCTTGGACAATAAGCCTTTAGCGGTTCCTCCTGGATTTGGATTATCCAGAGATGAATCGCAAAAACTACAAACTATTACCGAAGAAAATGTACAAGATCAGACTGCTGAAAATGATTCGCCATCTACTATGCCCAATCCAAATATATCCAACACGAATCCGTTTCTACAAGATGATAATCAAATTAAATGTGATTTAACTCCGGACAAATTCCTGAAATTATGGAATGACAACTTGAAACTACAAATGCAAATAACCGCCACTTTTCATATACTTTTTAATCAAGTTATGAAAAATTCTAGTAAGGGAATAGATGACGATCCAGTAAAAGATACAAATAAATTAAACATACCGAATAATATGTTTCCGCATACTGAGAAAGATATTCCAACAACGATCACAACAACCGCAAGTTTGCCGAGTGTAAATAGTTCGAATACAGGTCCGGTTACGGCTACGTTTACCGTAGAACCATTGCACGCTTCTACTTCTTATAATGGAAACGTTAAGCCAAGCTTTGCTGATTTCCTTAGAAATTGTAATATTCAAAATTTATTCGAAAACGAATTTAATTCGATGTGTATATGCTAATTTCTTTATCTTTACAGACTATAATTTTGATGCGATCAGAGAATCTTTGGCAAATACACGAGTATTACCAGACTTTGACAATATTAATGTGAAATCTAATATGGACAATCAAAGTCATATTTCCAATTATGCAAACATCAACGATGTTCCAACGTTTTTAGAGAAATCTACAAATAATAAAATACCATTCAAAGAGACTAATCCTTTCAAGCTCAGTTTAGCAGGTAAATTACGATTAGATTCAGAGGATGAAAATTATTTGACACCTATTTCTCACAAAGATCAAGATCGATTGATCGATAAACACGATTCGATTAGTTACGAACAGAATTCGAACCTCGGAAGCATAAACCATGCAAATGATATACCGGAGAAATTGTATAAAGACTCATCGTTTAATAGTCAAAAATATTTTCACGCAAATAATACAACGAATAATTTATCCGTGTTAAACGAAAAATTCATTTCGAATGATCGTACTACCTGGCCTATGGTCAATGTTACCAATGATATGTCAAAAATTATTATTAATAAGCCATTCATAATGCACGATGTTAATCAAGTAAAAGAAATGAATAACGAAAGTGTAGCGAATACTCAAAATTGCAATTACGCAAGGTTTTCTCCGTACACTCCTTCATATCTCAGAATTAGTTCGCAAGAGCATGTTATAGACCAAAAGCATAAGGAAAATCCAGCTTCGGTGCCCTGTCTACAGACTATCGAGAGAACAGACGATCAAACGACGTGTAATACGAATCGTAATAGCGTAACTAAAACCAACGATTTTAGTGAATGTACAAGTACGTCTTCGCCATGGTTACCGTTTAACAGTTTCCTACCGCTTGTACCAGTGATACAGGATAACAACACAAGCACTGACAAAGATTACTTAACACGAATGACTACCTCCAACATTTCATGCACATCGGCAGCTACTACATTAATAAAACCGACTAACGAAGCGGCGGCGGCGGCAGTAGATAACAATCATCTACAATCACCGATCAGAAATTCAAATGACGCGTGTGGTACATTTGTGAAAGACTGGATTAAAACGGTTCAAGATATAGCTAATATTCAATTGGGAAACTGTGATACGATGAGTTCTTCGTTTAAGGGAAACGAGAATGTAGAAATAGCAAGCTGTATAAAAAATCCAGCTGACGAAGACAATGTTCTAAATCAGTTTAACATTAATCGCTTAGATGTAAACAATTTCCATGCGAGAGGAAACGAATTGAGAAATATTTGGAAACCGTCGATTTCGACGCAATCCACGTATAGCGATAACAATTCTACGTATTTAACGTATCCGATGTCACCGAGAATTAAAATATTTTTTTCATTAATTGGTAAGTTCTACTATAATTTATTTGTTATTCATTAATTAATATAAATTAATAATTATTTTTGTGTAATCGTTCCCTTTTTATTCTAGACTTACCTAACGAGCGAACAATTCACATATTTCACCATCGAAACGATGGTTGGTTATTAGCGAACGAATTTATAATGTTTACCGAATTTCAAACATTTTCGTGTATGTTAAATTTCTCAAACATATTTAACATACGCATACCATTCGAAGAAATTGACAAAAGTCTATACTCCATGGAATATATAGAGCCGTACATAAGGTAAACATTATACGTATAATTTTCGTTGATAACGATCTAAAAATTATGTTTACATTGTCCGAAATAATTCAACGAGTGCTATATATTATTTTATTCTATTTTAGGCCATTGTCAATGACAACAAGAGATATAATAAATAATCCTAGCAAACTGCAATTGATACCATTAAGAGTGATATTCAGATTATTGTCTAAATGCAGAGATTCTCAGAAGAATCCGCTTGGCGGTCTCATATACAAACCATTTAAGGATCCTTCTACTCCCCATGAAATTATGGTAAATATAACTATCCTTTTATTACACTCTGTACATACTAATTTTTACGCGCTATTGTAATTTATTTTGTTTTAGCAAATCATACAGGCATATCGACAATTCAAGAATCACATTGAAAATTTTGGAAAGCTATGAAGTATTGGTTACGAGTTCCTTGTGTAATGTACGACGAATGTTTATATTAGTTATCGATGCGATCGAAATGGTTATAATATTGTTTATTTATGGTTTTATACTTCCTTCGTTTGCGAATAACATATTATTGTAGCATAATAGTTTACGATACTAAAGAGTATTATATCTAATCGTTAAAATAGACGAGTAATCTTCGTTTTGTTTGTATAAAATGCATACTTTTTCAACGTGTTATTTTTCATTTATCATTTTTATAATTAAAATAGTAAACTGATATTTTTGTAAACTTGTCTTTTTTCTCTATAATTTACTGAAGTTGGTGAATCGAACAAAAATTGCCCTCGACCGAGTTCAAACTCTTTAACCATTGATTAAGTTTTTGTAGCACGTAAACTAACGACTAATAACATTACTACGAGTTGATATCTATCTTGGTTTGCGTATCATGGTTTGGCATGGTCCATGGAGCAAGCCACCATCATTGAGCTCTATCCTAACTGGAGTGTGAACTCCTGTAGGAAGAAGTAGAGGCGACGGAAGTCCGAGAGAAATGCAAAATGGGTGGTTCTGTTATTATCCTATAGCAAATTTATTTGTAGAGGGGGAACAATCGTACGCCGTAACATAACCTACCCGAGCATCGCTGAACATTGTCGAGTGAGTTACTTTTAGATTCTTTTCTGCATAAAATTGGATAAATACAATGTAAATTGAATTGTGACAAATAATAAAATTTAGCTCTATACCAAATTGTATATATTTGTATGATCTAAATTATGGTATGTAAATTATGTATACTATTTCATTATTATGTCATTATTATCAATGTTTCTATCATTTTATATATAAATAAAATCTGTAAATAAGTCCTAGAGTGCCGCGAAATTCAAACAAAGAGGAATCTGTTCTCCTTCTACACATAAATTTGCTATAGGATAGTACTACCGGATCCACTCATCTTGCATCTCTCTCGGACTGGCTTCTCTCTCGCAGTTTACACTGCAGTCAGGATAGAGCTCAATGGCTAACATACACTGAGCAGAGCTTTTCCCCCACTTTCACAATAGCGCCGTATCTCTAGCAGAGTACCATTCGCTTGTTCCCACCGCTTCTGGCACCGACGCAGGACAGCTGACTGCGATTGACTGCGATAGCTTCGCGAACGCACAGTCCGATACGCAATATAGAAACAGAGATGGGGGCGAAAGAGAGCGGGGGTCTATCTCGAAGATGTGACGTGACCTTCGATCATATATACATGGACTGCTCAAGCTATAGTGTAGTCCGACCAACATCTCCCATGCCAAAGTTACGAGTAAGCAGTTGTGCGCAAGCGCTATAGCCAATGGGCGATAGCAGTGGGGAAAGGCGCGAATTGAAATTTCGGACGGTTTGTCGAACTACTCTTTGAGTATATAGAAATGTATATAGAAATGTATATTGAGTATATGTTTATATACTCAAAGGAAGTACTTTTCGACCATTGGTCAAAGCTGCAGTCAACCTATCATCGAGATAGAATTTTTGCTATAGTTCTCGAATTCGACACATGCGTATTAGCGTCAAGTCTCACTTTTGGTATGAAGATGTTTGTTACGCTCTGCTCAGTATATAAAGAGTAGGCTTGAGCAGTCCATGTATACAGGGTGTCCCAAAAATGTTGTAACACCTTGAAAGGGGTGGTTCGGGAGGTGATTTGAAACAACTTTTTCCTTAGCGAAAATGTCCGAGACTTTGTTAAGCAGATATTAACAAAAGACCCCGACCAATCAGAGCGCGCGTATACCGTTGGAGCGGCCGCGGTAGCGTATGAGCGCGGCCGCCTATCGCGTAGCCTACGCTCAACCGGCATCCTCGCGCTCTGATTGGTCGGGGTTTTCGCTTAATATCACCTTAACGAAACCTCGGACAACATTTTCATTAAGGAAAAAGTTATTTGAAATCACCTTCTGAACCACCCGTTTCAAGGTGTTACAACATTTTAGGGACACCCTGTATATGGTCGAAGGGTAGATAGCGAGCGAGGAATGGGGCGATACCTTTGACTATAGTATAGTCACTATACCATGTTTTCAATTTCCAAGTGCGCATTGTGAGGATCGACCTTTACGACTCCCCGAGGAGTGGGGAGAAAACAATTGAAGCGCGCGAGAATCGAACGAGGGCGTGAATGTTCAGAAAGAACAGATTGATCGATTATTACTAGCTTATTTCGATTCTACTTATCATCGTCTTACATGACTCCTGCATTGTGTTAATACTGTTTGCAGTATCTCTTACTTCTCATCTAGTGCTAGCTCGGGTACCTCGGGGTTGCTAAGCCCGTACTGTAGCTAGAAACACCGCTACAGCCCCTGAGGGCGAGAACAGATTGAAACACGTGGAACGGTGTTCTAAGAGAAATAAAGTTTTTGTTACACCCATGAAGTATAAGGAGTTCCAACTGTGTAGTATGTAAGTGTTATCAAAATCCCGTGCTTTAAGTTATGAATATTTCTACCCTCGCGGTGCAAGTGAGCACAGACTACGATATATA